TTCCATTTATGTCATTATCCTGAATATAGATGAAAAACTCTTTAATATATGCTTATATTTTGCTGTACTTAACATATCAACTTGAATCTTCATATGTACAGTGCACAAGGATGACAACTTCATTTTCTTGAATTTTTAAGGGATTGCCTTTTGTTATTTTTCATGTTTTAATTACTAAGATGTCAGAGATATGCAAAAAGAAAGGGTGCAGGGTTAAATAATTAGAAGGCATATATTGTTGATGTACCACTGCGCATTACCAGCGGGAGACAATGGCACGATGGTGAAAACGCCATGGTACATTGGTTAAAACACGAAGACACGATGGTGAAAATGTGATGGTACCATGGTGAAAATGCGATGATACGATGGTGAAAACACAATGGTACAATTGTGAAAACGCAATGGTATGATGGTGAAAACTCGATGGCACGATGGTGAATATAGGATGGTAGGATGGTGAAAACACGATGGTGCGATGGTACATTGGTGAAAGTGCGATGGTAAATTGGTGAAAATGCAACGGTACATTGGTGAAATCGCCATGGTACAATGGTGAAAAAGCGATGTTACATCGCGCTTTCACAATCGTACTATGACGATTTAACCATTATACCATCACATTGTCATCATCGTACCATTGTGTTTTCACCATCATATCATTGCATTTTCACCATCATACCATCGTGCATCGCGGGTACAGACTGAATAAAAATTACGATTGTCCAAACGGAACACTGTATGATGGTCGGCCTTCAGACATACATATTATGTAATATCAGATTGTAAAATCAGTCAGTCTTGCAGTCGAAATATTGAGACCAAAACTTACTTTGTATGTGTGACATGTGCCCGAATAATAACTGATTGGATTATTTTGTATTATGTTCTCAACTATCTCTCTAGGACAGAGGTGTCAAAACAGCGTGCAATCAAGTGGTAACATCATTAAATTAAGGAGTTAAACCGTTACTGCTCTATGAGACAATGTGTCTAGTCATTCATGCATACTTAATGCAGTACTGTACTTTAATCATTGAACTAGAAAACATAGATATAAAACACAGTTTTCTAGTTCATTGAGTAAGTACAGTACTGCATTAAGAATGCATGACTAGACACATCATTTATATGTATTTTATATCTTTGACTAAAATATTTAGAACTGAAAAGATGTAGACTTAGAACATATATTTTTCATGTTCATTTCAATAGTAAATTCATAGTTTCATAGTCAATATACATTCATCTTAAGAGGACAGTCAAGTTTTTTTGTATAAACACAGGATTTAATCATTTAAAATTTTAATTTCATAGTCATATGAAAATTGGCGGTTACAAAGCCATGAGTGGAAAATGATGATTGTAATACCACAAGATGAAAATAAATACTGTTTTTTATAGAAAAACTTTGAATTTTCTGTTTATATACCAGGGTTTTTTCTCAGGATTTTGGGAACATGACCCAATGGAATTGGGAATTTCAGCAAATTATTTTGTTAAAAATTGGGAAAAATGCATACCTGCCTATGCTAAGTATATAATATAAAGGAATTGCCAAAATGTTTTTATTTTTCATTGAATGTAAATTTATTGAATTTTTTTATAAACTTGTAAATTTTGACATAAGTTTTGAAAATACAGTTCTTACATAATAAAAAATTGGTACCAACTGAAAAATAAGAATTAAAAAAATGAACATTTTGCATTAGAATCTATATTCATTTATGTCAAAAGTCTTCATTAATGTCATAAATTTATAATTTAACAAACAAGCCACATAAACTGAATCTATATCTTGATAGCTTTTATAAAAGTTGACGCAAATTAACCAAAGGCAAATTGATTTAGCACAGACCTTTTGCCAACAAAATGAGCTCAACTGAACTAGATATCAGGAGTGTGCTTAAAATAGGTAAATGACATGGTGAAGTGGGTGTCAAATGTGTGACCTAGTGTTCAGAATGAAATACTTTAATCAAACTTGGTATACTATGTTTACCGGTATATAGCAAGCTTATGTGGGGCTAGGGATTGCTTTTAGACCCCCAATGGTCAAGGAATTTTTACCGTAAGAAAGAAAAATTGTGTTTCAGGTAAATAACTAGAGTTAGGAATAAGATATTGTAATCAAACTTTGTATTTAGCAAGCAAGACCTTCAAGTAGACCGGACTAACCTTGACCTTCATTCATAAATGACCTTGACCTTTAAGGTTAAAAATGTCTCAATTTTGTTTGGTTTTTGCTGATTTTTATGTCGCCTCTGATTTTTATGTTGCCTCTACTAAGTATAAAGGGAACACTTCTCCATTGTCTGTCTGTCTGTCACAAAACTAGTCCGGACTTCTCCTCATAAAGTTATGGTGCAATTTCATCCAAACTAAACAGTACCAAGTTTAGTTGTGCATATCATCAGCATTTTCTGGTTCAATGATTTTTGTCAGATTTATGGCTCTTTAATAATTTTTATTTTTAAAGTTTGTCCGGACTAACTCCTGTAATGCCACTTATGCAATTTCAAAGAAACTTTACAGGATTGATCTGTAGCCTAAGTCCTTGCTCATATTTCATGGGTTTTCCGGTTGAATGATTTTTGGCTGAGTTATGGCACTTGAATATAAAAAGGTGTTTTTTTTTGTGTTGCCAGCTACAGGACTACTCCTCAGAAACTACTGGTGCAATTTCATGAAAACTTTTCAGGAATGATCAATACCATCATTTGTAGTTGTACAGCTCATCAACATTTTATGGTTCATTGATTTTTGTCAGAGTTTTGACACTTTCATGATTTTAATTTTGAAATTTGTCTGTAGTACCCCTGTTATACTACTTATGCAATTTCAATGAAACTTTACAGGATTGATCGATAGCTCAAATTCTCGTGCATATTGGTTGAATGATTTTTGCTGAGTAATTGCTATCATGAGGCGACACATGTGTTCTCCGATTGTTCTTGTTGCTTCAAGTGGCGATAACTTTGTTTTTTTGAATGGATTGTCTTCAAACTGAAACATAATAATCTTTCAGGGTAGCCCTTCAAGTTGACCAGACAGACCTTGACCTTCACTAGAAACGACCTTGACCTTGTAGGTCAAATTACTGAAATTTTCATCTTTTTGCTGTAACCTGGTATAACTTTGTTATTGGATTGACTTCATATTCACATCTGTTTATGATAACACCTTCAAGTTTATATCAATCTCAAATTGACCTTGCTCTTTAATGATCTTGACCTTGAAGGTTTAATTAATAAATTTTCACTGATTTTTGCTATAATTGAGTGTAACTTTGTATTTAATAAATGGATTATCTTCATACTTTGACAAAAGAACATTTTGGACAAGGGTTTGGTTCATACTTGTTGAATATTTAAATTACCATAATTGTGAATGTGTGAAAGTCATGGTCAGGAAAGATGGGACAAATTGTCTTAATTGTTAAAATATCTTTTTAAATGAGCAGGAAGTCAACATTTTTAATGGTTTTAACACTGTTGCTGACAACCTGCTTTAATACTCAAATAGCCTCATTTGAATAAGGATATTCCTTCATGAAGTTTATTTTGTAATGAATAAATTGTTGATATTTGAATGTACTTTTGATTGTTTTATTTTCTGAAGAAAGGGTAAAAAATGTCTTTGTTTTAATGGCAAAAAAATAAAAGTTGTTAAACGTTTTAATAAAAGAAACCATTGAACATAGCTTAGCTATTTTTAAACTGAAGATCTAAATTAAAACATTTCAGATGTTCATGTGTTGGTCTTTGCTTATCATGGTATATCATTAACATAACTTTTTGCCCCAAAGTAGTACATTATTTACTTTCTTACTTTAAAATGATTATAATCTTAACTATCAATACACTTTGTTTTATCTTGTTTCTCACAGATAAAGCCATTGGAGGAGGATTTAAATGGTTTATGAAGAACAAAATTAAGCACAATGTTTAAACCTTCTGATTTACATCATAAAGCGTTGTCAGAATTTACACAAATGTCACAGACAGAGTTCAGGACCCAGCAAATAAATAACCAGCAGACTCCTGGGCAGTCAGATCCTTCATTCTTACCCCAAGGAACTGTTATCAGACATTTAACACCATGGCAGAATACTGAAAATCTGCAGCAAAATGGCAATGTGGATAAAGTCCTTGAGCTGCTTTTACAAAATATGCGCTTAACACAAAAAGAAAATAAAGATCTTAAAGACCACTGTGCTCATTTAGAACAAAAGATAAGACTAGATGAGATGAGAGTTACACCTACAAGCCCAGCAAGGAGCCGGTATTAAGATCAAAATCTGCTCCAGAAAGTTAATGACAAACTACAAGATACGAGAAAGGTATCGTCACCAGAAATATTTTTATTTCCTGATACGAAACAAGAGAACTGACAAATGGTCTTCAGACAATAGAAGTCAAGGTAGTTCAGTGCATGTAAGTGCAGATGGAGCTAGCGGGGAAGTATCGAGGATTCCCGCTCTCTTTCCTCGGGAAAATTGTCCTCCTCGGATAGAGATTCAAAGTGAATTCCTCAGTTTAAGAGACAGTTTTTCAGGAGCCTCCTGGGTTTTCAGCACAGTATTTCAACAATGTTATTAATGAGTTGATGAAAACAAGAGTATACTGCATAATTCTACAAATGAAACAGGTAAACAATAAATTTTAAATTAGCCTTTTAAATGGAAAGTTTTAAATAAAATGTAAGATTGCATTTCATAATACAATTTTAATATTTACCCTGGATGATATTTTGGTAAAAAAGTTTAAGAAGAGATATATTAAATAATGATAACTTAGTTTATTATATACTGAACAACCATTAGTTTTCAGACTTTTCATTCTCTTCAAATAACTTTAAAGAATCATTTTATTAACATAAATAAAATTCATTTGATTAATACATAAAGACCAATTTGATAATAAAAAAATACATCATTTAGTTAATGAGATCTTTTATATTTTTGTATATTTTAATACATTATACTTTTTTCAAATGTTAGAAAACACAGAGTGATACTGCAACAAATGAAAAAGAAATGGATAAAATGAGAAATGAAATACAACAGCTCCGTTTTTCCAATCAGAAATTACAGGTAATTGAGCCGTGTCACGACAAAACCAACATAATGGGTTTGCGACCTGCATGGATCCAGACCAGCTTGCTCTTCCGGGCAGTCTGATCAGGATCCATGCTGATCAGACTGCGCGGATACGCAGGCTGGTTTGGATCCATGCTGGTTGCAAACGCACTATGTTGGTTTTGTCATGACGGGGCTCAATTCTTTCCTCATGCTTTTTGATGCGTCTATGGCAGAATGGTTACAGTCACTTAAACTCATTTGCCCCTTGATTCTTTATGGGTTCAAATACTGCTAGAGGCTTTAGATTCTTTGCTGCTATCCACTTGATTTAAGGTATTCAGACTTTACTAAATATTTCCTGTTTTGTGAAATAATGCACAGAGGGACATCTGTGGTCAGCTGTCTGTTAAAATAAAGCTGGATAATGGCCATATGACCATTTTGTGTGTGTGTGACTTTAAAACTGTACAGAGAAAAATCAAGCAATTTGTTTAAGCATTACTTATATTTTAAGATTTTCACTTAGAGTGACCAATTATGAGAAATTATGTCCTTTAAGAGAAGATGAAAAGTTGCAGAAACTTAAAGGTGGACATGGATCTGCTGATTTAAAGATATACTTTGCTAATCCTTGAGTAAAATATTTTAAGGTTTTTTGACATGATGGGACAGAAAATATTTTTTTCCAGATAAATTATGTACCATTTGATGTAGGTGTAGACCACAAATCTTTGTGCAAACTTTCAGATCATTCGCGCACTTCGTTTTTCCATAATAATTATTCAAATTGTAAAAAAAAATTTTTTAACGCTTTTCACTCAAATTAGGCTAAGAAAAGCATAAAACTACGATTTATTTTAAAGTATATTTCTTAACTATCTTTGCACATATTTCTGTTTTAAGCCCCCCCAGTTCATTTATGTAAGAAATTCTAATGTTATTTTTTTAGGCTTTTAAACCTCAGTTGAGTCCCTTTAAGAATTGGCTTTTATATTTCTTTTCCTATGATATTCTTTTCTTACCCTGTACAAGAATGATATTTTGACAATAGAAATTATGTTGTGGCATTACTTTTAAGCGACATCTTCAAAGAAAAGAGGGAGAAATAGATCAACTAAAGAAGCTGCATGTGAAAGATGAAAGTTTGAGTTTTGAGCTCAGAGAGTGACTCAGCAGAGCAATCTAAGACTGATAGTGATCCAAGTTCCCAAGTAAGTAACATTAGCTTTAAAGCACTTCTGAACCACTTTTTCCTCACAGCCTGAAAGGGTCTTTTGCATTTTTTTTCAAATGAGGAATGCTATCCAGCTAGCTTACAGAGTGACTTTGATTCTACTCAGGTGCCTATAATGCCTGTAACTAGAAAGTGGCCATATGAACTAGATTGTGTTAGTGAACTTACAACCAAAGCCCAAAGAAAAAGCACTTCTGAATAAAATACAACTGTTAAGTGAGTAGTTTTGAGTACAACCAATTTTTTTTAAGCTAGAAAAGCTGTAATTAGAAACAATTATTGTTAAAGTGGTGAAGTAGAAGAGTTCCCAAATGAAATATATCTCTGCATTAAATGTACAATCTACTTGTAATTTGATGAAATTTCCTAAGACACATATTTATTATGTAATGTTGTATGAAATATTTTGGTTGTTCAATTTATTGATTTTTCATGGCATTATTTTATCTCTTTAACCATTTACAACTACTTGTTTGGGCTATTTGTTCCACTTTTGTCTGTGGTTCTGCAATTCTGATGCAGTTTTCCACAGTTTCTCTTGTAATAATTGCACTCATGGACAGAGATACTTTAGATGATCTTCTTATTATGCCCCCACTTCGAAGAAGAGGGGGTATATTGCTTTGCACTTGTCGGTCCGTCCCGTCCGTCGGTCCGTAGACCAAATGGTTTCCGAGTGATAACTAAAGAACCCTTAGGCCTAGGAACTTCAAACTTGGTATGGTGATTGGTCATGACCAGTAGATGACCCCTATTGATTTTGGGGTCAAGGGGTCAAAGGTCATATTGACCTTGTAAGCAAAAACTGTTTCCGATCAATAACTAAAGAACCCTTAGGCCTAGGAACTTCAAACTTGGTATGGTGATTGGTCATGATCAGTAGATGACCCCTATTGATTTTGGGGTCAAGGGGTCAAAGGTCAAGGTCACATTGACTTCTTGGGTAAAAACGTTTCCGATCAATAACTAAAGAACCCTTAGGCCTAGGAACTTCAAACTTGGTATGGTGATTGGTCATGATCAGTAGATGACCCCTATTGATTTTGGGGTCAAGGGGTCAAAGGTCAAGGTCACATTGACCTTTAAGGTAAAAACGGTTTCCGATCAATAACTAAAGAACCCTTAGGCCTAGGAACTTCAAACTTGGTATGGTGATTGGTCATGATCAGTAGTTGACCCCTATTGATTTTGGGGTCAAAGGTCAAGGTCACATTGACCTTTTAGGTAAAAACGGTTTCCGATCAATAACTTAAGAACCCTTAGGCCTAGGAACTTTAAACTTGGTATGGTGATTGGTCATGACCAGCAGATGACCCCTATTGATTTTGGGGTCAAGGGGTCAAAGGTCAAGGTCACATTGACCTCTTGGGTAAAAACGGTTTCCGATCAATTAACTAAAAACGCTTAGGCTTAGGAACTTCAAACTTTGTATGATGATTGGTCGTGACCAGCAGATGACCCCTATTGAGTTTTGGGTCAAGGTGCCAAAGGTCAAGGTCACATTGACCTTGTAAGTAAAAACGGTTTCTGATCAATAACTAAAGAACGCTTAGGCCTAGGAACTTCAAACTTGGTATGGTGATTGGTCATGACCAGCAGATGACCCCTATTGATTTTGGGATCAAGGGGTCAAAGGTCAAGGTCACATTGACCTTGTAAGTAGAAACGGTTTCTGATCAATAACTAAAAAACCCTTAGGCCTAGGAACTTCAAACTTTGTATGATGATTGGTCATAACCAGTAGATGACCCCTATTGATTTTGGGGTCAAGGGGTCAATGTCATATGGACCTTGTACTTAATGACCGTTTCTGACCAATAACTCAACAACTCAAGTTGCCTTGGTTGATATTTTTATATTAAACTAAAAATGCTTTTGGTATACACATTTGAAGGTCTTATGTAATATAACAACTTGGCTGTCATTAATGAGGCCTACATGATTCATAAAATTTATGCATATATTATTTGGTAAGATTTGTAATAACTTAAATTGCTGCACACAACCTATGGGGTCACAATAATTATTACCTTGTGACTAGTCATGACCAGTAGATACTAGATAACCCTTATTAATTGTTTGTTCACTGGGTCAGAAGTCATGCATAATAACCTGATCACATGACTAATTGGCTGCCGATAGGGGGCATACATGTTTTACAAACATATCTTGTTTTAGTTAATGTCTTAGGCTGTTGTCATTCCATAATCACTTTACATTATATGAATTAATTGATAAATGATTGTGATAATAGCTGGCATCTATGTTACCAGGGGTCCACTGAAGCAGAAATTCAAAGATTAAGAGAAGAAGTTGAAGAACTTACCAAGATAAATCAAGTAAGTTTTTTGAGTTCTTGGAAATAAAAGTGTTTTTTCTAATCATATTACATATTATACAGTCGTCAGTATTGGGATTGTTTATTCCAGTCTGTTTATAACTCAGTTATTATGCCCCCTTCAAAGAAGTAGGGTTATCTGTTCAACCTATGCTCAACCTAAGAACATCTTACTTTGTATTGAGATTTGTCACGACCTGTAACTTTTTGGGGTCACTAGTTCAAGGTCACATTGACCTTTTATAACAAAATATCTTGACAACCCATGGGCTCTTCAAACTTTGCAGGTGCATTGGTGTTGGCCAGTAGGGGACCCCTTATGATTTAAAGGTCAAGTGATTAAAGGTCAAGGTCACATTCACCTTGTCTGTAAAACAAAAGCCCCCCCGGACGAAATCCCCCCCATCTAAAAATGACAAGGTGGACAAAAGCCCCCTCATAAATTTTCCACATAGGACAAAAGCCCCCCCCCCCCCCATAAAAAAGTAAAGGTAGGACAAAAGCCCCCCCCCCCCCCCCCCCCCATGGTCCATCACACATCACATTTACATAATATTATAGTGTAAATGAATTAATAAAAATGAAAAGAATTTGTTTAAATGTGTATTAATAATGTATATATTGAAGTGATAACAAAGTATGATAACAGAGGAAATAATGCATGCACGCGATACTGAATAGCTTTTCATATACACAAGAAGCGTCAGAAGAGTAGTAATGTTTAATCACTTTAATCCTTAGCAATTTGTCACCTACATTTGATGTCCATACATATTATTAAACACATAAAAAACACAACTTTAATACATACATGCTTAAAAATATTACAAACATGAAGATGAAGAGCACATGGATGAAATAAAGCACACTTTATTGATAAATTATTCTCACAGTCTCTGCTACAGTTCAGTTTCAGAAAATGTTCACATTAAGTTGAGTCTGATACATTGTGACATGGCACACAAAATAACCAAATTAATTGAAAAAAGGCAGATATCAATTCATTTACACTAAATGTAAATGTGATGGACCATGGGGGGGCTTTTGTCTTACCTTTACTTTTTTATGGGGGGGGGGGCTTTTGTCCTATGTGGAAAATTCATGGGGGGGCTTTTGTCCACCTTGTCATTTTTAGACGGGGGGGGGGGGGGGGGGGGGGGGGGGGGGGGGGGGGGGGGGGGGGGCGGGGGTGGGGGAGGAGGCTTTCGTCCGGGGGGCTTTTGTCCTACACTCGTTTCCGACCAATAACTTAACAACCACAAAATATATAGGTGCATTGGTCTTTGCCAGTCAAGCACCCTATTGATTATGGGAGCAGGGGCCAAGGTCAAGGTAACATTCACTTTGTTTGTCAAAATGGTTTCCCACCAATAATTTAACAATCCATGGGCCATTTGCCCTCAAACTTCATTGGTGTTTAGGTCATTGATTTTGAGGTCACAGGGTCAAATGTCAAGGTCACATTGACCATGTAACCAATAACTTGAACTTGGTCAGAATGATCTCGCCACTTGACTAATTGGCTAGTGTTTGGGGGTGGATGGTATACATGTTTTACAAACATTTCTTGTTAATTATCATGTAAATAACAAGATTTTCAAGATTCAAAATTTTATTGGCAAACACATTTTACAACGTCCATTGCCATGTTCCATATTGATAAATAATAATATTATAATAATCATAAATTAATTTGTAAATAGATTAATATACCAATTTTTGATATCTCTTACCAAACATGCCAAATTTTATCCTTCCAGCTTCTCTCCAAAGTACAAAAACACTAGGTAAATGCATAGAAAATCAACACGAGACAAATACATGTACATACTTTTGGGGAAAACCTAATGACAAATTTTAGTTAAAGTAAATCTCAGAGCAATAAAAAAACTTAACCATTTAATTTTATCAACTGTGACTTTTCTATGCCACCTATATAGAGCTAATACAGTGCATATACAGTGTAACTTCTGAAAAGTGAACACCTATGGGACTAGCCAAAAAGTTCTGAATTTTGAAGTTACCGGAATTCAGAGGTTCGGAATTAATCGAACAAAAAGAAACACTTAACATCAATTGTTTAAGATATTCCTTCACACCTTATCATTTCCGGATTTTGGAAGTAGATTTCAGTTGATATAACCCAAATTTTACCTGAAAATCGTTCGGAATTTAGAAGTTCCATAATTCCTAGGTTTTAATTATATAGAAAACAGAAGGTGAAATTTCAGGACCCTGAAAAATGTTCGGATTTCAGAAGTTTCCGGATTTCAGAAGTTCCAGATTTCGGAAGTTACACTGTATACAGAGACAGGCAGTCTGCTCTTTATTTAGTTAGATCAAACTACATATATACTGTTGGTAGACCAATTGTTACATAAACTGTTCCACTAAAAGATGAACAGGTCAGAATTTAAAGCAATCCATAATAAAATGTCAGCAGTATAATGTCCATTGTTAATGGATATACCAAAATTATTTTCCAGCTGATCAGAGATGAAAAGGAGGAGTTGGAAAACATGTTGAAAAAAGACAAAGCTGACATGAATAGAGAGCTTATTCAGAAAAATGAAGCCTATGAAGCATTAGTAGAAAATGTAAGATTTTTAGAAAAAAATTCTCTCAATGAAACAGTTGTTAATAATTGGATAGATAATTTCTAGTATGTACATAGACCTTACTACCAGGGGAGAGATGATTTAGTAGTTAAGGTGTCTATCTCTTAGCTCAGGGAGAGTGGGTGTAAATCCTTATATGGCACCTGAACTGGTTAAATATAGGAACAGACTCATAAATAGATGGTTGAAGTAAGCTTCAATATTTTATCACCAACAAACTAAAGTAAATGTGCTTAAACTAATTTTGTTGATTAAAATTATTCACTTTGTCCATGATCTTTTAAGGTTAAGATTTTAAGTACCTGTCTGCAAGAAGAAAAAGCTAGGTTTAGGAATGCTGATGAAAGACTTAGAATAAAAGCAGATGATACAAGGAAGATGTCAGCTCAGCTTGGCTCACTTAGACAACAGGTGAATTGTGTTATGTAATTGAGCCGCTTACTAACTCTATTACAAATAGAGAAACTGATAGCGAACAGCATGGATCCTGATCAGACTGCGCGGACGTGCAGGCTGGTCTGGATCCATGCTGGTCGCAAACGCATTATGTTGGTTTTGTCGTGACGCAGCTCATATATTATTTCAATGAATATTTTGTTTGTTTGATAAACCATTCATTTTTTGGCTAACCTAAGCACAAAGTACTCAGAGAAAAGTTATTTTGGTAGCATGATATCAATGGTGTTTGCAAGGGGGTCATACCATGTGCGCGCATCCTCAAAATTCTGATACCGCAAACACTTTTTCAACTGGTATTTTAAACGATTTGAATTTAATTTCTTTTGCAAAGAAGATGTCCTTACTTCTAGTTTTGATATTCCAAATGCCTTGACACAAGTCTTCCTTTTTTTGTCAATATTTCGCGTTAAATGCAATTTTGATTCTGCATATTGCATACACCCGGTGTTGTAATGTTACGAAAATTGAGAAATTGTCGATTAAACTGAAAGTTTCACACAGCTGGAAGTTATTTTATTGTAGAACCTGTTTCATTAATATATTTTAAATCTTTGTTATTTTTCCTTTGAACAAAAAATGTCTTAAAACGTACTATTTACAGGAAATAGACCTTATGATACTGCGTACACTCTCAAAAAAATTCAAGATACTGTGTACACATGTTCAACATATATAGATATATTTACGTTTCAAACCCCAAAAAATAGAATTTAAACAGAAATTCAAGCTGGAACTTTAAGAAACATCATTTTAGCGTGATTTGAGTACATGAGATCATTTTAGTATTTTTATTATGCCCCCGCCATGTAATGGCCGGGGCATATAGTGTTACCCTGTTCCTTCCTTCCGTCATTCCTTCCTTCCGTCATTCCGTCCTTCTGTCATTCCGTCATTCTGTCATTCCGTCATCATCAGTTTCCGTTCATTATCTTAGTAACGGTTGCACACATTCAACTCAAATTTGACATATGGATATGTCATGAGAAAATACAGGTCAAGTTCAAAGTTGGTTATGGTTCAATGATTTTTGGCAGAGTTATGCCCCTTTCACTTTGAAAATAATATGAAATTTTCAGTTTCTGTTTATTATCTCCCCAACGGTACAACACATTCAACTCAAATTTGACATATGGATATGTTTTTGGAATGCCCAGGCCAAGTTGGAATTTGGTCATGGTTCAATGATTTTTGGCAGAGTAATGCCCCTTTCACTTTGAAAATAATATGAAATTTACAGTTTCTGTTCATTATCTACCCAACAACTCAAATTTGACATATGGATATGTCAAAGGAATGGGCAGGTCAAGTTTGAATTTGGTCATGGTTCGATGATTTTTTGGCAGAGTTATGTCCCTTTCACTTTGAAAATAATATAGATACATCTTAGGAATAAGCAGTTTAAGTTTGAATTTGGTCGTGGTTCAATGATTTTGGACAAACTTATCTTTCTTGAATGTTGGAAAAATTTTGAACTTTCAGTTTCAGCACTGAAATGTATGTAGCCATTATTTTAGCTACAAATATGAAATATGCTATTTTCAAAAGGTTTAAACTAAATAATTTCAGTGCCTTGAACATTGTATGAAAATGGTTTGTGTTAACATTGAAAAGTTTTAAGGGCTTTGAACTTAAAATGAAAAAAATAATTTGTGCAAACAAATTTGAAACTAAATATTATAACAGCTGAAATTTTGGCTGCATGCGGGGGCATCCGTGGCATGATGACACATTTCTAGTTGTCATTATTTTACCTAAATATTCCTTTAAATGTATGCTGTTTTTTGGTTCACTGACAATATTGAAGAAGCATGGATGTGCAATTTTCATATTAATACCCCCGCACAACGAAGTTATAAGAGGGTATACTGGAATCAGCTTGTCCGTCCGGCTGTCCTTAAGTTTTTCCTTTTCCGCCCAATAACTTAAGATTCCTTTGACCCACAGTCTTCATATTTGGCATGGAGGTTAGTCATGGTGAGTAGATGACCCCTATTGATTTTGAGGTCACTGGGTCAAGGTCACAGGGCCTTGATTTCAAAAATGTGATTCTGACAAAGTGGAATGCGGGGGTATTCACGCCATGACAGTGGCAGTTCTAGTTTGTCCACTTTATTCAATTTTTTACTTTATAAAATCATTGTTGTTATCTCTGTGATCTGTACTTATTTTGATTTACTAGAAATTTTATTTAACTATTGTAAATCCTAGAAATGTTTTAAGAGGCATATACATAATAATCATGTCAGTTAAAATTAAAGTAAAGAGACGGCCTCCGTGGTCGAGTGGTTAGAGTCGATGACTTCTAATCCAGTTACCTCTCTGGCGTGGGTTCGATCCCCGGGAGATGCTTTGGTGGTTTAGCGCGGAGGAAGGTAGTCAAGTACTGGTGTAACTCTCCAGGAACGATTGTTAGGAAACTACCCGCCTATATGACTGAAATACTGTTGGAAAAGGGCGTAAAATGACACAAACAAACAAACAAACAAAATTAAAGTAAAGCAAAAAGAAGTGTAATAAATTCATTATTTATTGACTTTGATTATTTGTTAGTTTACACAACTCTGCATATCTTTAAGGCAGTTTTGTTGGAATAAAGAAATGATCGTGAATAAATATGCTTTTAAATATTTTTTTTGTGTTTTCTTCTCTTGATTTACTTGCTTTTTTTTTATTAGTATGAAGAACTTCGCCAAGAAAAGAATGCTCTAGAGAAAACCCGCTCGCTGGAAGATTTCCCAAGTTTAAGATTTACATCACAAAGAACAGTGTCTTCTGAAAGGAACAGATCAGGTGGCAGTAATCGGTCGAGAGAGAATGCACGATACGGCTCCAGTCACTCAAACACCTCTCCGTATAACTCAAGAAACTGTGGTTTAAACATACACCCAGAAAACAGACCACATAAAAAATTTCAAAATAATTTGTCACTAGGAGATCAAGATGAACAAAAGCTGTCAAATATTCCAGGCTGGGAATGTCCTCGTTGTTGGCAAACTTTCCAAATGGAAAATGTTTACCTAATGCATTTACAATCATGCATTGATTGAGAATTTTTTCCTGTTATAATAAAACATTTACATAATCATGTTTTACCTGACATACAGTATTGGATATAATTTGTCTTGAGAAATCTTTTGTTTTCTAATTAATAGCAAACAGAAAAAAGCATTTTTGAGGGAATTAACTTTCTCCAATTATCAAAGATATGACAATTAACATTTAGCCAACTGAAACTGAAAGTGATAAGCCTTTGCCAGGTCAGCATGTATGAAGTTTGATGAGGCTATATACTGTTAGTAGCTCAGTTTTTGTGCATGCTGAAATTCATTCAATGGACTGTTCCACATTTAAGACTAGACAGATCCATTACAAAAATACAGCAGATTAACAAGTCTAGACTTAAACATTTTATTCACTTGCAAATTTTTGCGAGTACAATAAAGTTTAACCCATTGAAACCAATCAGAACTTGCATTTTTTCAACATTGTATTTATATCCATATACTACATGATGCTTATCCATATATCTGTTTATTTTGTAATTGCTTAATGTAAAAAACGTATATGCAAATAGTTAAATATAAGCCATGTACATGTATGCTATCTAATAAAGTACACCTATCCATTTGAAATTATAACAAAAAATCACCAATAGTAGACAATAATAGCAGTACAAACTGGCAGGACTGTGTAGTTTCGGACATCAATTAGCACAAAAAAGACCATCACTTTATTTCTAACTAAAGAGTAAAGTTGAAAAAGTGCCTCAAAATTGTCATTTATAACTTGTCTAAGACCATTCTGATGTTATGTAAAGATCCTTAATCCTTTCACTGCCATAGGGACGGCCCTGTTATTTTCGGCGTATTTGCCATATGTCCATATGCCGTTTCTATAATAATAATGATAATAATAAGAATAAATTAATAATAATAAAAATAAATATAAAGAAAATTATACCATCGACAATAATTATTTTTATACTTACAGATTTGGAAACATATAATTATTATAATACTAATAACAAATAATAATAATTATATTTATTAATAATATAGTAATTTCTTAGAAAACCCTCTGGCAAATAGGTGATCAGTAAAACAATAACCCTCTGGCAGCGAAAGGGTTAATAGCTTCTCCTACCTGTAAAAGCAACACTCTGATTGGCTAACAATAGTAAATGAAACCTATATGGAAAGATACCTAGTCACTGGATAGCTTAGGAAATAATGTTTTCAGCGAAATTAATTATTTTGAAAGAAGAATAAGTGGAATAAACAAGGCACAATTTTTGCCTTTGGTGATGATATTTTTGTTAATAATTCATGTCTTTTTACAAAATCTTACCAAGTTATGTTCATTAACTGTCTGCTTCATTTGCAAAAGTTTGCGAATTAAAAGAAGAGCTACTCACATTTTTCTTTTTTCATTTGCATTTTGCAATTGCTAAATTTAAGCTTGGATTAAGTGTTAAACCTGTATATCTAGATATAAGATAAATACTGATGTATGAAATTTCAGAAACTGCTTATAATAAATATGTATCTCTGTATAAAGTAAATTTTGAGAAAATCAAGATTATCTTACAATATTACTATTTTTATTTATCAAATTATCGAGGCGTGCCATATTGTTTTGCAAATAATGGTCAGTCAGATGCTGATGTGTGAAGATCAATGTTATTGAGACCTTGAAAGTGAAAATACTTTTCTGCTCAATAACTACAGAACTATTTGACCTACACTACAGCTTCATCAGATGATTACCCTTATTGAATAGAAGACTCCTATTAATTTTCGATGCCCATGCTTGAAGGTCAATGTCACAGTGACTGTGAAAACCATTTTCACTTAATAACTGAATTGAATTGATGCCTTAAGGTCAAGGTCACAGCGGCCTGTGAAAATTGTTTCTGCTCAATAACTCTTAAACTTCATTAGATGATTACTCAAACTTTACAGGATGGTCATTCTCATTGAGAAGAACAACTCTGTTGTTTGTGGGCACTAATGCATGAAGGTCAAGGTCAGTGGCCTTGAATGTGAAAATTGTTTCTGCTCAAAAACTAGGGGACCATTTGTCCAAAAGTCATAAACCTTCATAGAATAATCACCATCATTTAGTAGAATGCCTCTTTGTTTGGGTGCAGATGGATAAAAGTCAAGGTTACAGTGACCTTGAATGTGTAAACCATTTCCACTTAAGGACATAAGAACTTTTTTCAAACTTCATAGGATTTTAACCATTGTTGAGTAACAGACACTTAATGTTTTCATGCACCAATGTGTGAAGGTCAAGGTCTCAGTGAATCGTTTTCACTTAATAACAAGAGAACCAACTGACCAATATACTTCTTACTACATAGGATGATCACTATCATTGATTAGGTTCTTGTCAAGGTTAAAGTGATCCTGTGAAAACTTTTATCACCTATATTCACTTTTTTAGCTGACCTGCCACAAAGTGACAAGTTAGCTTTTGTGATTGCAATTTGTCCGGTGTCAGTCCATCCATCGTCTGACTGTCTGTAAACTTTTACTTTAACAACAGCTCCCCATAAATCACTAGGCCAATTTTAGCCAAACTTCACAGGAATGTTCCTTGGGTGGTCACCTTTTGAAAATTTAATTCAAGAAATTTAATTCTATACAGCACCTAAGAAAAATCTTCTTTTAAAAAACGCAAAGAGCTAGAGCTCAGATATTTAGCATTGTCAGAAAAATAGTCAGGTGAACCTCAACAAAATTATTCAAATTATAGCCCTGGAGTCAAAATTGGCCCCACTCCAGGGGAATATAGATTTTCCTTATATGTGACTTCTCATAGCAAGCAGTGACTTTCCATAGAAGCCATTGACTCCCTAAGTGCACATTTACTTTTCATATCAACCATGCATTTCAATAGCAACCAGTGACTTTCCATAGCAACAAATAACTTCCATAGCAACCAGTGCCTTCCCATGGCAACCAGTGACTTTACATAGCAATCAGTGACTTTCCATAGCAACCATTGATTTCCATAGCAACCAGTGACTTTCTAAAGCAACCATAGACTTCCATAACAACAAGTGACTCACATAATAACCATTGACTTACCGAAGCAAACATTACTTCAATAGCAACCATTGACATTTCATAGCAACCACTGACTTCCATAGCAACCACTAACTTCCAAGGCAACCAATGACTTTCCTTAGCAACCTGTGACTTTCCATTGTAACCATTGACTTCCATGTGACCAGTTATTTCCCAAAACAACCACTGGCTATCAGAGCAACCATTGGCTTCCATAGTAACCAGTGACTTTCCATAGCAACCAGTGACTCACATAGCAACTTTTGACTTTCAATTGCAACCAAAGACTTCTTTAGCAGCCAATGACTTTCCATAACATCCAGTGATTTCCCATAGCAACCAGTGACTTCCATAGCAAACAGTGACTTCAAACAGTAATTAGTGACTCTAATAGCAACTACTGAATTTCAATAGCAACCATTGACTTTCCATAAGAACCATTGACTTTCCATAGCAACAGTTTGCTTTCCATAAGAACCATTGACTTTTATAGCAACCAGTGATTTCATAGCAGCCATTGACTTTTCATAGCAAACTGTAAGTTTCCATAGAAACCAGTGACTTACATAGCAACCACTGACTTCCATAGCAAACATTTACCTTTCTTAGCAATGTGTGAATATACCATTGAATTGCATAGCATTCAGTGACTTCCAAGCAAACCACTGATTTTGTATAGCAACAAGTGACTACTTTAGTATTGTTTTCCCATAGATAAAGCATGTAATGTTTTACATATGCACTACTTTAAATAGAAATATGAACTTTATGGTAAAAGATTAACTGCTTTTGCTTATAGTTTACTTTTTCCTTGTCATTAAGGGTGTTTTTATTCAGGTGAGCAATATTAGGGCCATCATGGCCCTCTTGTGTTTTATTATCTTCATCAGTTTTTAGTTTAGCATGGTAAAAGCAAACAACAGAGATACAGTTATGTATTGACAAAAGGGAAAAAAAACGAGGTGAATATGACAATATGCTCATTTTATTATATTGTGCCAGAAATGATTGTGACTGTTTAACACCTATCATTAAATCATCAATTTCTCTGAGACTTTCATACAGATTACTTATTCTTACTACCCATTACAGGTACATTGGAGAGGGCATACATGAGCCGCGTGACGACAAGTGGGTTTGCGACCAGCAAGGATCCAGACCAACCTGCACGTCTGCGCAGTCTGGTCAGGATCCATGCTGTTCGCTTGCCAACTCTATTACAAGTAGAGAAACTGATAGTGAACAGCATGGAGTCTGATCAGACTGGTCTGCATCCATGCTGGTCGCAAACGCATTACGTTGGTTTTTTCATGGCGCGGCTAATATATTGATATTCCTTGTTATGTTTGCCTCTATTATTGTACATCAATGTATGGTCAAAGTTATATAAAAAAAAAAAAAAAAAAAAAAAAAAAAAAAAAAAAAATGATTATGATTATGATTATTGATTATGTTTTGCACTGATGAAGGCATATAGCCGAAACGTTTGCAATTAAATTAAATTACTAAATGTTCGTGTTTGTGTGTGGCTTGTCTGATTATTGTCAAAGTTATATGAAATACATGAACATGTTTTCATTTGTATAAATTTGAAATTTTCATAATTTGTTATGCTGTTTACATGACTTATAAATGCAGTTAAAGATATGTTAACTATATAAAATGTTTAATATCTAATATTGTTATTGTTTATTTCTCATTATGCCCCCACAATGTGGGAGCATATAGCGTTGCACTTGTCTGTCAGTTCGTCCGCCTGTCCATCCGTCTGTACGTCCCGAAATCTTGTGAATGCAACTCCTCTTAAATCGGATGGCAGATTTTGCTTAAACTTACAGGGATGAACAACCTTAATGTGTAGATGGTCGTAAAGAAAGGAATTTTTGCTGCGACCAAATTTAACAGAATTATGGCCCTTTGTTGATTTTTTCACTATATACTATGTAGAAATTTTGTGAACGCAACTCCTCTTAAACCGGATGGCAGATTTTGCTTAAACTTCCAGGGATAAACAACCTTTATGTGTAGATGGTAGTAATTAAGGAAGGAATTTTTGCTGCGACCAAATTTAACAGAATTATGGCCCTTTGTTGATTTTTTCACTATATACTATGTAGAAATTTTGTGAACGCAACTCCTCTTAAACCGGATGGCAGATTTTGCTTTAACTTCCAGGGATTAACAACCTTAATGTGTAGATGGTAGTAAAGGAAGGAATTTTTGCTGCGACCAAATTTAACAGAATTATTGGCCCTTTGTTGATTTTTAGTTTTCAACTTGTGGCACATGTAGTCCAAAAAATATTTGACCGAGAGTCATAAGATTGACAGAACTGTGGCGTGTGGGGGCATCCGTGTCCTATGGACACATTTTCTAGTATAAATAAGAAGTGAAAAGTCAGATATACAGACACTATTCAATCAATGATACAACAGCAAAATATATTACATTGTTGCTCATATTCATCAATATACTTTGAAGTCGGAAATCTATATTTTGGTTCCGAAATGCCAATTGTTAGCTTGACTGTGCAAAGTATATGGAGAGCTGCCATCACCACAGCGTTGGCACCCACATCCAGATTTCAGATGAAAGTTTTGGATAAAAATTGTTTTTAAATATGGATTTTATTTTGTTAGCTCACCTGTCACAAAGGGACATGGTGAGCTTTAGTGATCCCTTTTCGTCCGGCATGGGTCCATCAACTTTTACTTTAAACGACATCTCATAAATTGCTAAGCCAATTTCATCCATACTTCACAGGAATGTTCCTTTGGTGGTCACCTTTAATTCAAAGAATTTAATTCAATGCAGAACTCTGGTTGCCATGGCAACTGAAAGAAAAACTTAAAATATCTTTTATAAAAAACCAAAGGAGCTAGAGCTCAGATATATGGCATGAAACAATTTTTAGTTAGAGTCTACCAAGTTTGTTCAAATAAAAACCCTGGGGTCAAAATTGGCCCCGCCATGTGTGCTCATTGATTTTCCTTATATGTTTAAAGTAAAAGCTTAAAAAACCTTCTTTCAAAAAAACCTAAATAGGCTTACGCTTAGATATTTTGCATGAAACATCTGGTGAATGTTTACCAAGTTTGTTCAAATAAAAGCTATGGGATCAAAATTGGCCCGTCCCAGGTGGTCATTGATTTTACTTATAAGTACACATCTTTTGGAACTGTTGTTTTCCTTTGGCAATAGCAACCAGTTATGTTTTTACACATGCACTATTTCAGATACAAATTTGAACTTTGTGATATCAGTTTATATTTAGATTTTATATCTGCTTTTGTTTATAGTTCACAATATTACTTGTCCCTTGTCATGGAGAGTTTTTATACTCAGGTGAGCGATTTCAGGGCCATCTTGGCCGTCTTGTATATAAATTATCTTTGTTATTATAAATGGTATCTACTCTAGACCTAAGATAATTGTTCTTTTTATTACTCACATCATGAATGACAAGGTTCATAACTCTAGCATCTTTATTTCAAAAGTTATTTCCTCTTTGAACTTATAATTTTGCTTTAAAAACTTTATATGTATACTTTTTGGTCTTATTTTTGTTACTAAAAAGATTGACTTCAGATTTCTAATTGTTGTCTTTTCCATTAGAGCATAGAAATGTCTGTTTAACTTTAATTGATGTTGTCACTTGCATATTACGTGGTGCAAAAATGTTGAACATTGAATGCTTTCTTGATACTGATACAGAAATATATTTAAATCATAATTTTAATATTTGTCTTCCTTTACTGTGTCCAGTATTAAATTAGTTGAGCATTGCTGTCTTCTCTTATAGCTCTTGTTTTTTAGCTCACCTGTCACAAAGTGTCATGGTGAGCTTTTGTGATCGCTTTTCGTCTGGTGTCTGGCTGTAAACTTTTACTTTAAACAACATCTCCTCATAAACTGCTAAGCCAATTTCATCCAAAGGAATTTTCCTTTGGTAGTCAACTTTAAATATTGTTCAAAGAATTTTATTCCAAGCAGAACTTGTCATGCCAACTGAAACAAAAAACTTAAAATATCTTCTTTTAGAAAACCGAAAGAGCTAGAGCTTAAATATATGGCATGAAACATCATCTAGTCAGTGTCTACTAAGTTTGTTCAAATAAATGACCTGGGGTCAAAATTGGCCCGCCCCCCGGGAGGGGGGGGGGGGGGTCTTTGATTTTCCTTATTTATATATAGTTAAAACTTAAACAAATCTTCTTTTAAAAAACCCAAATAGCTAGAGCTTAGATATTAAGCACAAAACCTCTTCTAGTGGGTAACTACCAAGTTTGGTCAAATAAAAGCCATGGGGTCAACGGCCCCGCCCCAAGTGTCATTAATTTTCCTGATATGTGTATAGTAAAAACCTTAAAAAATCTTCTTATAAAAAACCTAAAGAGCTAGAGTTTAGATACTCAGCATGAAATATCTTCTAGTGAGTGTCTACCAAGTTTGTTCAAATAAAAGCCCTGGGTCAAAATTGGCCCCTTCCAGGGAGAGGGGGTCATTGTTTTTCCCTATATGTATATACATGTAGTAAAAACTTAAAAAATCTTCTTATAAAAACCCCAAAGAGCTAGAGCTAAGATATTTATCATGTAACATCTTCTTATGGGTGTCTGCCAAGTTTGTTCAAATAAAAGCCCCTCGATTAAAATTGGCCTTGGCTCGCTCACCTGTATATAGGCCCCTGAGCCAAGGCCAATATTAATGTTATTGTTTAACCTCTTGTATATTAAGATACAAATGTATTCTTCAACTTCATTATGTCCAGTTTTTAAATTCATGCCTAAAACTAAGACCAAACCTCAGTGTTTAGCATTTTAAATAAATCTTTGAATGGTTTAATAAAAGGAATGTTTGTTTGTTTCATTTTACGCCTTCTACCAACAGTATTTCAGTCATATAGGCGGGTAGTTTCCTAACCATCGTTCCTGGAGAGTTACACCAGTACTTCCTCCACGCTAAACTACCAAAGCATCTTCCGGAGATCGAACCCACGCCAGAGAGGTAACTGGATTAGAAGTCATCGACTCTAACCCCTCAACCACGGAGGCGGTTGAATATTATTCTGTGTTTTCATCCAGATTTGATTAATACTTCTTGTCTGTTGGACAGGAGTATCTTTTGTCAGCCAATTAACTTAGTAATAAAACGTAAGGGGAAGGTGTCTGCCTCTCAACCCAGGGATCATAGGTTTGAGTCCTACTTGGGCCACGACCATGTTTCTTCATATGACAGCAGTACTGATTGGTTCCAGGAAGCAGATTTGAAAGTGATTAATATATTGCAAAAACTTGTTTTAGAAATACGTATTAAACTAAATAAAACATATCCTGCAAAGAGGGGGAGGGGGTGGACAATTGTCAAGTGCTTGTTAAGGTCTTTGACTTCAAACCAGTTGCCCCTCAAGATTAGGGGTTGGAATCCTGCAAGGACTATGTTTTTTATGCGAGAAAGGTATCCAGCTAGGTGGTTCTCTTCTCAGGTGCCGTTGGTGCATGAAATAATTCATGGAGTTTTCCTCCACCAGCTTGTAAGTGGTAAGTAAATGTAATTCCAGTGAACTCAGTAACTGTCAATAACTTGCAAATGAAACAGTACGTAAAACACATACAAGTAACTCAAGATGAAATATTGAACTATTGCAATCCTACCAAAAGTACAAATGACTGGGCGATAAGAAATTTACCAATAAAAGCTGGAAAAAAATCGACAAAAAAATCTTGGCGGGACGCTCTAGGATGGCCCGACTTGAATGAATGGTCGCCCATTTGGGCTTTCCGGCGGTGACCTTAAATAAACGCATTAAAAAAAAAAAGGGTGAGAGTTGTTTCGTCGAACTACCCGTTCGGCGAACTAATCTTATATAATAAAACAGGTTGTGGTTTCGGCGAACTTAATTTTATTGCAAAAAATATCTATTAATTGTTTAATTGGCACGTCAATTATCGTGGTTCTTAATCTGTTGTTTATCACGCATTTTCGTGTAATTTAAGACAAGATGCATTGTATTAAAGAGAATCTACTATGTTTTTTTTTACGTAATAAACAACAACAATCTGTTTTTATTCTTTATTCATCACTCGATATAAAACTTATAAGAATCGTTCTCATAAATCTTGTCGTTGAAGTTGTTGGATCCTATTCCTGAAATGTGGCTACATAATTTCAGTAGTTGGGAAGTACACATGTAGTCATGTCGTCATCTTCGTTCTTGTCCCAGGGTCGAATAAGGCTCCAATTTAATTTTTTTTAAATATTTTTTTCTCAAAACTAATTAATCAAATAACGAACAAATCATTATCAAAATAGATATTATATATAGACATACCTCTACAATGTATTATATTCATTAATGAAATTTTATGTGATAATTTGATAACAACAAACATATTGATGATAAAAACACTTTATATACATGAACCATGCCTACTTTGCCTTTAATAACTATATAAAATAAGATCGACGAAACCACTTTCGCACCTCTTCATAACCGGTAGTTCGACGAAACCACCATAATTCAAAAAAAAACTTATTTGGAAAAAAAACTTGCATGCAGACATGTTGACAAGCATTAGTTGTGATATTTGGACATAAATGCAATTATTAAATCAGATTTTACTTGTATAAATCCCTTATTATTTACATGTATTCTCGACCTATTTATTCTACTTTCACTTTGAATGTTTACGCAGACTGTCTACCATTTTGTAAAGACACGTGACTGTCACGTGGATAATTAAGTGTAGGGTAATTTATGCACTAATCTAGATTTTTACGGTGAAAAGTAAATATAAACACATTAGATTTTTTTAACAATGCACGAGTTACAACATTATTTTAAGATCTTTATTTTTAACATGGTTAATACATATTTTTTTCTTAATTTTTCTATGATAACAGAAAAATAAACTCCCCTACATAATTGATCTTGGACTATTCCGATTCTCCCAAAATCCGTAGGTGCTGTAACATGATACATACTGCCAAAACTTCTAGGCATTTCCGCAGTGTTTATTTGCACGTAAGCTTAAACATACGTGGACAATTTGTATTTTATTCGTTACATTCATGCTAATGTCACAACTCATAAATTCTTTTGTAAACGGATTTTAGCTGCAGTTGAAGGGTTCGGATAAGTTTTGTCTTTTATACAACATTTGCAAAATCTGGAGATAGAGCTCTAATATTTTAGTAAAGAATCAGCAGGAGGCACGAAAGACAAGTTATGATTTGGATGTTAATTATTGCCAGCGTGGCAGCCTTGGGGTCGGGGGAGCTATTCTCTAGTTTGGCACACCTACAGACAGCATTGTACACAGAAAGAGACATATCCAAGGAAATAAGACATTACATTTATGAGGAACAGGAAAGATTGGAGAAACTTACACAGTAAGTGATATCAATTCCTTTATTCTTCATGTATTGTTTTGCAAGGTGTCAAATTTCTTCTTTAAACCAAATCTGTTTTTAACTGTCTTGTAAGAAATTACTACCAGAGCTTGATACAATGTAGATCTACATGTATAATATTTATTATTAACCTATTAATGGTAAATAAGTGCATACAGTATACTGTATACATGTAAAACATCTGTTTAAACACATATTTTAGCACTATTATTGATAAATTTTGTGAATGGTCTCAATTGGAAGTTTCTGTTGAAATTAATGGTTACAAGTACTAAGATTTTAACATTATATTTAGTTTAAACACTGAAAGAAATTGCTAACCCATGCAACTTTTATTTCATGTGCATAACACCTGTTGTAGTAGAATACTCCTTTTATTGTATAAATCAAGGGCCATGTGGTTTGGAGATAGTTTAATCTTCTTTGATCTTTGACTGATGAGACTGAGAGGCAATGAACTGAGGAAGTCAATGAACCAATTGGACATTTTTATAAAGTATCTTTGTAATCTAGTTAGATTTTACATATGCATTGGGCATTATTGCAATTAAAATTGACAATTTAAATAGCAATATTTCAGAGTGTAGGATTTTTGCCAACTTTATTTGATGAAATAAGAAATGTAAACATATTCAATTCAGCAATATTTACCATTACAAGGTAATGAATAACAACATCTCTCTCTCCTTGATATAACAGATGCCATAAAACTGCAATCTGAATTGATGACACTTTCCCTGGAAATAAGAGAGTGATAAATCGCCAGTATTTATTACAGTTATATGTCTTGTTTAGCCCTCATCCCTCTTCCTTACTGTAGCAAATAATCATGTTTTCTTAATTATTTGTAGAGAAATAGATGGTAAAATTTACGACATTGTAACAAAAGTTCTCCTTGGTCAGGAAATAGTATTTTTATATTGATTCCTGTTGGATTTCTTTTTAATAAATGGATTTAAACCTATAAGATGGCAGGACTGGATATTATGGTCAGGTTAATTCAAGTATTAGTTATTAGGAGACACATTAATACAGGGTTGTTTTTTTTTGGCCAATATTCGATCATATTCCCAATTGAAAATAGTCTATTATTTCCCCAATCCATAGGAAAAAATTCCCAATTGAAAGTTACAAATTAAACATACATGTATTGAATAACAAAGTCTAAAATCTTTGAAAATCTTTGTTAAATTTTTGAAGATGCCATTCTAAACAGTCAGTGATTGTCATAATTCATTTAATTACTGCACAATTTAAGTTGTTCATTTTTCCCCAATTTTTAACAAAATATTGCTGAAATTCCCAATCTCATGGGTATGGGTCATGTTCCCAAAATTCTGGGGAAAAAAACAACCAGCACAAGCCATTGTGACATTATGCAATGTAATTTAAAAAAATCCCTTTAAAGCTTAGAATTTGAATATGGTTCTATATTAGTATAATTCATCAATATTTTATAAAATGTTATCTACATCTCTGATAAAAGTTTAAAAAAAATTAATTTGTGCTTAATAAATATTAAAAGAAGTATTGTATGACATAAGAAGGTAGAAATACTTCAAATTATACTTTTTGTACATGTGTCATGTACATGTATCAGCATATTGCTAATGATGAAATTAAATGGACACAATGCAAGCTCTTGAGGTGATTGTTAGAAATGCCTATGGCATTGATATTTTTATAATATATTAATTTTGTATGTTCTTGTCAAAATGGTGTAATTTTATTCACTTCCTATCCCCTAAAGGTGTGAACAAACCTGTAACCTTGTGTCAAAGTAGGAGTCATTACTGACCACTGAAACAATTTAGCTGAATAATCAACTTTCTGACCAAAGGGGTTGAATATTGAAGTGACTGAGGAAAAGACTCAAATTGGTTGTTCACTGGATAATCATGCAGTAAAAAAATTGACAATTTGCATTGATCTCTTTAGGTCCGGGCCTACATTTTATTTAAAAAATGATGACTATCAAGGGTCCAGATATTATTTGCATGATAGGCCTATATTTTCATGATTGATGCAAGCCTCTATTATAGTCTATATGCTTTACCCTGCCCTTGTCCATGTACCATCAGATTTAACATTTTGTACACAAAAATAATTAAATTGTATATCATGAATGATTCCGGAGTTTTTTAGTTGCCTTAAATAAACATTATATATATGAAGCAAAAATGAATACATCCAATTCATATGTCACTTGAAACAACAATAACTTAATCTGTCTTTAGCTGTACTTGTTTAATGTATAAAATACAATGTTTCTTTATTATCCACATTGACATCTGTAATCAAAGGGCTATTTTAATCAGAGTTGAGATCTTGTTAAACATGATACTGTTGAAGTTTAAACCTTAACTGATTTTGACTTCACATTTCTGATGGTGGTTGAGTAGAAATTGTGTTAGATGTATTTAATAACCCGGTGTGGAAGGTGTTAACTTGCTTGTGGCCTCAAAATTTGTAGAGTTTCAACTTTGGAAACGGAGGTTTTTTTATGTCTGATAGACTCAGTTGGGTAGACTATAAAATTACCCAATTAAAAAGGTGACATTTTCCCAAAGTTCTCATTAGAAAATGTTTCACAATGTGTGACTTTAGGACAGAAAACTCTATAAGAATGTTTATGATATACTTCTTTAACCTTTAACTGCATGTGCATATTGTGAAAAACGGCTGTTTTCATTGAAAAGCCTCCTGTAATGTAATAGACTTTCTCTAGAAATAAGATTTTTGCTTTTAAAAAACAACATTTGCAGTTCTGCAAGTCATGTACATGTACACAACTGCATTGAAAAGTCTTGTTTAAATGAAATGAAAAGTATTCTAAACTGTGAACCTTTCATATAGCAAGGAGAAAAAAATAAAGATTAAAATTTTTCCTTTCTTTTAAAGTTTAATAATTTACGACCGTCTGATTGTTGAGTTAGATACATGTATCAGTTGCACTTGATCAGTGCAATTTTGCAACAATGTAAAAAATTACTTCATGCAGGTGCTTCATATGAACAATATTTACAACATGGTTCAACATGATAATTAATTAAAAACCATTTGATATGTCAGGTTAAACGTAAGTTAATGCATGCTGTACTTTTAAATGCATGCTCATTTTGTTATATGTACGAGTACAATGTATGTATAAAATGTTATTTTTTTAATAAAAAAAAAAAATTCACATTTATATTTTGATACTGTTAATTTTAGATTGGCAGATGAGTTTGAGAAGCACAGTGAGAAAGCTCTTGAAGATCCAGACCTGTACCTGGGTAATCCTGTCAATGCCTATTTGTTTGTAAAACATTTTACCATTGACTGGGACAATGAAATTGATATTGTCATTAAGAATAATAGCAGAACTGGTAAGTTAACCTCCATTGTTTCACTTCTCAAATATTGATTTGATATTGTGAAATTGATTACTTTATAGTGGTGAAAAATTAACTGACATTTTGTGTTTTGGTTAATTCATCAAAATAAAAAAAAAATAATAAAAAAAAAAAGCAACCCCCAGCTTGAAACATTAGAAATTCATTAGAAGTTCAATGATTGTTTCCAAGCAATTAAAATTAAAGGGCAATTTTTTCAGTGCTGTTTGATTTCATGTAAAGTTGACTTTTTGTTAATGTTCTGAGAGATCTGTTGCATGCTGATGATGTAAATGATTTTTATAAAGTTATAAAGATGTTAATCTTGATATAAATCAAATAATGATAAATCGATGTCCACATTATGTGACTACATGTTTTTTTAGAGCTGTACAATAAGATTGAAGAGATGAGGGAGAACTTGCCAAACTATGAAGATCTGACAGGGTCAGTGAGTGCTTTATTACGTCTGCAGGACACATACAAGTTGGAGACAAATGAACTTGCAAGGGGAAATGTTGGTGGAGTTGCTTCTCCTGAACTTACAGGTAAAATTGGACTGATCAAACATGCAATCATAAAGGACAAACTTTGTGACAGTTTATCAATAATTACTTGTTAAAATACATGTACTAGAGTTTTAATTAATTTTCTCTCAAAAATTTTTTTTCAGTAATGTTATATACTTTATGTTTCTTTCAAATCTAAATAAATTGTGATCAGTGGGACAAACCTAATGTGATGACCCAGTTGTTGTAGGTGATAAGCCAATAGTCCTTGCATAAAAATGGCAGAAGAAACACTTCTTTCAGTATAAATCATATGGACCTGTGGCTATTTACTGTTACATTATAGATATGGTTCCCAAGTACTGATAAATAACATTTTTTTCCTTAAAAGACAATTTTATCAAATGTTACAGATAATTGATTTAAAAACGCCTTCATTGCACAAGTCAAAGTCATTAACTACACAAGGGGTGTTTGGTAATGAAAGATTGCAACAACACAATCCAAAGTTGCTTGAAGTGAAAAATTGGTGATATAAAAGCTAAAAATGAAAAATACAATAAATTTATTCTTTTATCAATGTCTTATACTTTAACTCATTTTAGAGTAAAACAATGTTCAAATTGATAATTAAAGTGAGTATGGGTCACAAAGTAAATAAACAAGAAACCAAGTTACACTTTCAAGATTTTGAAATAATTTTGATCAAAATTTTTTCTTCTTTTTTATGCCCCCATTTCGAAGAAAAGGGGGTATATTGCTTTGCACTTGTCGGTCCGTCGGTCCGTCGGTCTGTCGGTCCGTCGGTCCGTAGACCAAATGGTTTCCGAGTGATAACTAAAGAACCTTAAGGCTTAGGAACTTCAAACTTGGTATGGTGATTGGTCATGACCAGTAGATGACCCCTATCGATTTTGGGGTCAAGGGGTCAAAGGTCAAGGTCACATTGACCTTGAAAGCAAAAACGGTTTCCGATCAATAACTAAAGAACCTTAAGGCCTAGGAACTTCAAACTTGGTATGGTGATTGGTCATGATCAGTAGATGACCCCTATTGATTTTGGGGTCAAGGGATCAAAGGTCAAGGTCACATTGACCTTGTAAGCAAAAACGGTTTCCGATCAATAACTAAAGAACCTTAAGGCCTAGGAACTTCAAACTTGGTATGGTGATTGGTCATGATCAGTAGATGACCCCTATTGATTTTGGGGTCAAGGAGTCAAAGGTCAAGGTCACATTGACCTTGTAAGCAAAAACGGTTTCCGATCAATAACTAAAGAACCTTAAGGCCTAGGAACTTCAAACTTGGTATGGTGATTGGTCATGATCAGTAGATGACCACTATTGATTTTGGGGTCAAGGGTCAAAGGTCAAGGTCACATTGACCTTGAAAGCAAAAACGGTTTCCGATCAATAACTAAAGAACCTTAAGGCCTAGGAACTTCAAACTTGGTATGGTGATTGGTCATGATCAGTAGATGACCCCTATTGATTTTGGGGTCAAGAGGTCAAAGGTCAAGGTCACATTGACCTTGTAAGTAAAAACGGTTTCTGATCAATAACAAAAGAACCCTTAGGCCTAGGAACTTCAAACTTGGTATGGTGATTGGTTATGACCAATCAGATGACCCTATTGATTTTGGCGTTAAGGGGTCAAAGGTCACAGTCACATTGACCTTGTAGGTAGAAAACGGTTTTCGATCAATAATGAAAGAATCCTTAGGCCTAGGGACTTCAAACTTGAGATGGTGATTGGTCATGATCAGTAGATGACCCCTATTGATTTTGGGGTCAAGGGGTCAAAGGTCAAGGTCACATTGACCTCTTAGGTAAAAACGGTTTCCGATCAATAACTAAAGAACCCTTAGGCCTAGGAACTTCAAACTTGGTATGGTGATTGGTCATAACCAGCAGATGACCTATTGATTTTGGGGTCAAGGGGTCAAAGGTCAAGGTCACATTGACCTTGTAGGTAAAAACGGTTTCCTATCAATTAACTAAAAACGCTTAGGCCTAGGAACTTCAAACTTTGTGTGATGATTGGTCATGACCAGCAGATGACCCCTATTGAGTTTTAGGTGAAGGGGTCAAAGGTCAAGGTCACATTGACCTTGTAAGTAAAAACGGTTTCTGATCAATAACTCAAGAACGCTTAGGCCTAGGAACTTCAAACTTGGTATGGTGATTTGTCATGACCAGCAGATTACTCCTATTGATTTTGGGATCAAGGGGTCAAAGGTCAAGGTCACAATGACCTTGTAAGTAAAAACGGTTTCTGATCAATAACTAAAGAACGCTTCGGCCTAGGAACTTCAAACTTGGCATGGTGATTGGTCATGACCAGCAGATGACCCCTATTGATTTTGGGGTCAAAGGTCAAGGTCACATTGACCTTGTATGTCAAAACGGTTTCCGATCAATATTAAGAGAACCCTTAGGCCAAGGAACTTCAAACTTGGCATGGTGATTGGTCATGACCAGCAGATGACCCCTATTGATTTTGGGGTCAAGGGGTCAAAGGTCAAGGTCACATTGACCTTGTAGGTAAAAACGGTTTCTGATCAATTTACTAAAAACGCCTAGGCCTAGGAACTTCAAACTTTGTATGATGATTGGTCGTGACCAGCAGATGACCCCTATTGAGTTTTGGGTCAAGGGGTCAAAGGTCAAGGTCATGACCAGTAGATACTTTATAACCCTTATTAATTGTTTGATCACTGGGTCAGAAGTCATGCATAATAACCTTATCACATGACTAATTGGCTGCTGATAGGGGGCATACATGTTTTACAAACATATCTTGTTTTTTTTGGTGGGGGGTGGGGGGGGGTAAGGATGGAGGGGCTATTTATACAACTGGACCATTGAGCCATCAAGAAGTAGCAATAATCAAATTGTTCTAATATTTTTTGTTTTGTTTTATATGACACGTATGAATTTAATGTAATCCTGACTAACTATCACATTAACAGCATTTTAGACCTTTCATCTTAATAAAACTAAGTTTAATTACTGTGTAAATGAATGTGTTAAATGCAAATTGCATGGACATTAACATATAAGTATTAACTTTGCCTTCTTAACTTCTGTTGTAATGTTAACAACAATTTATTCATGTATTTAAATCTTTCTAAAAAAATTTTGTTGGTAAAGTTTCAAGAAAATCATGATATTAAACGATAGTTTAACTTTTTCAGTATACAGACAATTTACAATACAACCAGTTTAAACATACTTTTAATGGTTCGGTTGAGAAAAATGCTGATTTGTCATTAATTGTCCAGACCTAAACAAATTTCCATATTATAACATCAAAATTGAGCAACTTTATAGACCATGATCAGACTGCACAGCCTGGTTGTATTCTTGTTGTATACAAAAAGACAGTTTCACTGCAAATGTTCACAAGTATATTCACTGTTAAGATTGTTTCCTGAAGACTTACAGTTCTATTACTGATATCCATCAAGGAGACATAACATGTATGATAAAAAAGTACATGTATGTTTCAAGCCTGTTATAAAGTCCATTATGTGTTATAAACCCTTACACCCCAGGGTCACAATACACTGTCAAAAGATATTTTACATGGGGCGTCCGTGGCCGAGTGGTTAAGGTCGTTGACTTCAAACCACTTGCCCCTCACCACTGTGGGTTCCAATCCCGACAGGGACTTTGGATTCTTTCATGTGAGGAAGCTATCCAGTTAGCTTACGGAACGTCGGTGGTTCTACTCAGGTGCCCATTCGTGCCTGAAATAATGCACGGAAGGGCACCTGAGGTCTTTCTCCACCAGTAAAGCTGGAACCTATACTGTGTTGATGTGACGTAAAACCCAAAACAAACAAACATAAGAACTATCAAATAAGAGTAAAATTGATTCAAGTTAATGGTTAATTATTTCTGTCTTGGATTATGACTGCAAAGTAAGATTTCTTGGATTCTTATAGAGCTGTGTAATTTTTTAGCTTAAATATTTTAATCTCTTCATGTGTCAAATAATGATATTAAGATAAATTTATTGATTTTTTGAGAAACATCATCTTTAGAAACTAAGAGCAAGTAAAGGAAACCATATGAATGATTTTAGAAAATTTGTTATAACATTAACGAAATGCAGTACCAAAGATCACTGATTTTTTTAAAATATAAAGAGTTTAATTTAATAAGAGGTTCATGTATATATATATGAGACTTTTCTTAAAAAGTGAAGAGCATTTGTTAATTTTTCAACAAATGATGGAATATAAATAAGTTAAATTCAACAATAGGAACTACCGGTAGACAAATTTGGCCAATTTTTAGTTAAACGCTAGTCTCATAATGTGTTATTAAACTTTGAGAGTATTTCATCATCTTAGTACAATTACTGGTTAACCTATTAAATTAAGAAGGAATTAACCTGTTACATCACTCAGATGAAGAATTTTTGTAGAATAAGTCATTTGAAAGCATGTATAAGTTTGGATTTTATATAAATGTTGCATGATTTTAGCATGGGACTGCTATGAGTTAGGTCGCTTGGCATACAACACAGAAGACTATTATCATACAATCATGTGGATGGAAGAAGCTCTTGCTAAAATCCGTCAGTTTCACGATGAGGGAGTTGACGAAAATATTGTCGCTATTTTGGATTATTTGGCTTTTGCACAATACAAGGTAAACATTGGAGCACGCTTGCTTAAGCTTTTTAAGAATAGATTTTAAAAATATTGAATACTTTAAAAGTGGGTATGTCAGGTGTTCTTGCAACACATGAAAAAGGTTTTACATATGTAGTACTTTTTTGGTAGCATGATAGGAACTCTGAGGGAATGCTGAATGATTATTTATGTGATTATGAACAGAACTGACTTTGTTTCCACATAGAGTAAAAAAAGTGTGAGGGGGACCCTTTTTCTAATGAATCTGCCTACCTAAAGGTAATTGTTGTGATCATTAAACAGCCTTCTGTGCTATACAAGGTGGTAAGTGAAGTTGCAGTATGGTTGTGCGTAATGAATATACCAGGTAAGTGTTGTATGGTTGGTGCACAATGAAGGTACCAGGTAAGTGTAGAAAGTTTGGTGCAAGATGAAGGTACCAGGTAAGTGATGTATGTTTGGTGCACAATGAAGGTACCAGGTAAGTGTAGAAAGTTTGGTGCAAGATGAAGGTACCAGGTAAGTGATGTATGCTTGGTGCACAATGAAGGTATCAAATAAGTGAAGTGTGCTTGGTGCATGATGAAGGTACCAGGTAAGTGTAGAAAGTTTGGTGCAAGATGAAGGTACCAGGTAAGTGATGTATGTTTGGTGCACAATGAAGGTATCAGGTAAGTGAAGTATGTTTGGTGCACAATGAAGGTACCAGGTAAGTGAAGTATGTTTGGTGCATGATGAAGGTATCAGGTAAGTGAAGTATGTTTGGTGCACAATGAAGGTATCAGGTAAGTGTAGAATGTTTGGTGCAAGATGAAGGTACCAGGTAAGTGATGTATGCTTGGTGCATGATGAAGGTATCAGGTAAGTGAAGTATGTTTGGTGCATGATGAAGGTATCAGGTAAGTGAAGTATGTTTGGTGCATGATGAAGGTACCAGGTAAGTGTAGAAAGTTTGGTGCAAGATGAAGGTACCAGGTAAGTGATGTATGCTTGGTGCATGATGAAGGTATCAGGTAAGTGAAGTATGTTTGGTGCATGATGAAGGTATCAGGTAAGTGAAGTATGTTTGGTGCATGATGAAGGTATCAGGTAAGTGAAGTATGTTTGGTGCATGATGAAGGTATCAGGTAAGTGATGTATGTTTGGTGCACAATGAAGGTACAAGGTAAGTGAAGTATGTTTGGTGCACAATGAAGGTACCAGGTAAGTGAAGTATGTTTGGTGCACAATGAAGGTACCAGGTAAGTGTAGAAAGTTTGGTGCAAGATGAAGGTACCAGGTAAGTGATGTATGTTTGGTGCACAATGAAGGTACCAGGTAAGTGAAGTGTGCTTGGTGCATGATGAATCCTAAAACAAGCATTTTCCTGCATGTTCCTGATCCTGATGCTAACAAAACCTGTGGAATGAGGATATCAATGTCCGTCATGAAGATTCCAGTGTTTTGTTACCTTTTAGCAACAGAGTGTTTTGAGATTGGCAGGCAAGCATACGTAGGTCAAGATTATTACCATACCATTATGTGGATGCAGGAAGCTTATGAAAAAATACTCATTGAGAGGAATGAGACTGCCCCAAAGACTGTTGTCCTTGATTACCTTCAATTCTCATTGTACAAGGTGAGCAGTTCAAACTGTACAGTAGTATACATGAGCCGCTCCATGACAAAACCAACATAGTGCATTTGCGACCAGCATGGATCTATACCAGCCTGCACATCCACACAGTCTGATCAGGATCCATGCTGTTCGCTTATAAACCCTATTAATCCTCGCATGTATCAGTGCTATACACTGGGCATGTAAAAGAACCAAGGAATCTATTCAATAAGAGCTAGGGACTGGTTCCCGGATTTCCTTGTATCGCATAGCTATCTCTACAGTCTGCTGAGGTAAGGACCCTACTGGAAATAAGTGCTTGCACTTTCGTAGGTTATCCTTGACTGCACGGTCTAAAGAAAATCAATCAAGAAAGTCAATCAATTACAAGTAGAGAAACTGATAGCGAACAGCATGGATCCTGGTCAGACTGCGCTGGTCTGGATCCATGCTGGTCGCAAACGCACTATGTTGGTTTTGTCATGGCACGGCTCAGTTATGACATTGTATCTGTTCATGTCCAAAGCTTGTTAACATTTATGGTTGACACAGAATGAAATTCAAATGGTTAGCCTCATCTTCCAATATTTGTGAGGGTATTTGAGTCATTCTGTGATATCTGTGAGGGATTTAGCCTTGTACTGTCTATCTGTGAGGGTTTTTATGTGAGCATCTAAAAGATAAGAAACAGAACAGTCTAATTATGTACCAATATGTTTCCTGAAAAGTCTCCCATAGAAATGTAAGTATAACATATATTAAGTTAGCACTTTGTTATTATTAAGCTTGGACAGTGTGTAAGAGAAACATAAAGAAAAGTATTATTGTGAGGCAAATTTCTTTTTTAATTATTTTTATGCCACTGCAGCATCTGCAATGCGGTGGCATAAGGCTATTCACCTGTGTTTGTGTATGTATATTAGTGTGTTAATGAACTTGTGAAAAACCACTAGTTCAATTTCAACCAAACTTGGCAGGATTGATCCTAAGGTGAAGGGCTTCCAAAGTTGTTAGATTAAAAAGAATTTGATTCCATGCTGAAATCTGGTTGCCAGGGCAACCAAAAGGAATTCTAAAAATTATTTTAAAAAATCTCCTTGTAAACATCCACAAGGCCTAGAGCATAGATATTTTGCGTAAGGCATTACATGAAACATTGTGTAGTGGACCTCTACCAACATTCTTCAAAATATAGTCCTGGGGTCAAAATTGCCCGCCCGAATAGGAGAAAGCTAGGGCTTAGATATTTGACATGAAACATTGTCTGGTGGACCTGTATCAAGATTGTTTGAATTCTACTCTTGGGTCATAATTTTGCCCTGCCCAGTGACCTACTTTCTTGTCCTTTGATGTACAACGGTGTGCACAGTTTGAGATGTATAGCATTTTTAACAAAATCTTGTTTCATTTTTTCTTGTTTGTGGTTGCAGTAAATGATAATTTAATAGAAAATTTATCAGTGTTGGTAAACATTAATTTGCTATCTGTACAATAATACAATATGATCATATATTTCAGCAAGGAAATGTAAGAAGAGCTTTGACACTCACCAATGAAATGCTTGCACTGTGTAAGTATTTTGTGTAATTGTTAGTATACTACAATGAAGACCAGTGTTGCCACAACAACAAGACATTAGTACCACAGGTTAATGTTAATCCCTTAATCTGCTAGAAATGGTAGTGTTTAGCCTTTGCCAACAATAAAGAGCGTGGCTAGCATGTAGTCTGACCAGGTTCTACACTGTTGACTCATCTATTTTAAAATGTCAATATATGAAAGTTGGACAAGTTCATTTAAGAAATACAGATTAAGAATGAAGTTAATATAAACAAAATTATCAAAATGGATAACTTGCCCTATCATATAAGTTATAAAGATTTTTTGACAGGTTATATGGCCCAATATGAATGGTTGTTTGAAGATATAATCCAAGCCATTAGGTGAAGGTTATATTGCAAATAATCATTTATATACTGCCATGAAACCTTTTAAGAATTTTTATAACAAAGTTATATTACTGCAAGGTTTCTTTATTACAGATAAATTGAAATTATTTCATATATATGGACTGCTGCCATGTATATCTAGATCAAATAAATGTCTTGATTATCCAATGAAAACGTTACAAACATGTAGAATTATAAGTTTATCACATACCTGTGCTGCTATTGTGACTCTGTAATTATGGAATTGCACCGCTGTGCATATATTTTGATGTGAAATCATTTGAGTTATACAAATATAGTGTAAAGACCAGTAAATGTTAGCATTACACTATAGGCGCGTCAATGAAAAAATTATTCTTTTTTCGCTTTTAACAATTTTATTTTGGGTATTTGATAAATAGAATTTTATATTCATGTACGTTCATTACTGAATTTATTGAACTCATTGAATAAAATAATATTATGCTCGCCACTCACATAATATAAATTTATTCAACTCTTTCAATAAATTCAGTATTGAACTTACACTCATTCAATATCCTCTATATATAATAACATTGTATTTTCTGAAGCTCCTGATCACACAAGGGCACAAGGTAATAAAGATTATTATGAGAGAATGTTACGAGAAGAAGACGAGACAGCTAAACGTGGGGATGATGGTGAAGTTACAAATAAAAGACAGTTAGATGAGTACAGGAGTGGTGAAGAATATATGGCATATGAGGCTTTATGTAGAAATGAAACTGTTAAAGTAAGTTTGCTTCACATTCCAAACATTTGCCTGCAGTCTAGCATTGTTTTAAATGGCAATTCATTCTTGAATACAGTTCAGTTTATTAGCAATCAGCAATTGGCAATTCTTTCTTAAAATTAAATTTTTATACAGTTTCAGTTTATTGGCAATCAGCAAAATATTAAGCCATTTACAAATACAAAAAAAACTTATGACATAGACAATGCATGAATGTAACTGGAATAAATAACAATATCATCCATTCTAACACGACCCGCATTTTTCCCTGTTGAACATAGAAGAGAAAGTGTGTGTTATTATGCTATAAAATCACTGTTTGACGTTCTATATTTAGACATGTGATGTAATCATTATACATGTGACGTAACCTCTAAAATGTGACGCGCTGACAATAAGTACGGACACAAATCAGGCGCAATTTAGCAAATTATCATGTACGGGCAGCATTTATTTGTTGATGTCGTGTTAGAATCGAAACAATATATCCAAATCGGTGATTTTATTGCATGATAACATCACTGTTTGTCGTTTTGATGCGCATCATTATATCACTCGGGCTACGCCCTCGTGATTTAATTCCCCGCATCCGAACTCCAAACAGTGATGTTATTGAGCAATAAAATCACAGTTTGGGATATATTATTTCTTAAATAACATCATAAACAAGCTGATAGTATTTTACGTAAATACATGGAAAAAAACTACATTTACCAAATTAGTATACAGATGGAACTTGAAAGCAATAGTTATCTTGATGGTTATCATTTGTGATATTCAGACATAAAAAAAATAATTTCTATAAGTTTTGTTTTTGTGTTTTATTGCAGGAAAATAAATACAAACATAAACTATTTTGTCGATATAGAACAAATAACCATCCATTGCTGATTATTTCCCCTGCCAAGGAGGAAGTGTTGTATTTGAATCCATTTTTATCAGTATTCCACAACAGTATTAGTGATAGAGAGATTAAACTGATACAAACTCTGGCCACTCCAAAGGTAATTACTAAATTTTCAATCTTTGTAATATGAAGAGAGGTCCCCTCATTTATGATTTCCTTGCTACACCTTTGTTTAGAACAGGTATCCAGATGACTAAAACTGACTACTACTCATCTTGGTGTAGGTATAACCATTACTTTAAAGTTTTACTTGCAATATCTTGTATAAATACATAGCTCATCAACCACTCAAGATATTTGCTTGCTGGTTTACAACTGTCTCTGAGATTATAATAGGACGACACCTAGGCTTGTATAACTAGCATTGACTTTGACAAATCATAAGTATTTATTAAGGGCAGAATAAGAGTAGGTTTTAATCTAAGGTTAATTCAACCTGTGGAATGTATGTTAAAAAGTAATTAATCATTTTCGATTCATTCTTTTCTCAAGTTTAATCTGGTATTTTTATTTCAATCTTAATGAAAATGTTGATTTAGTTGTATCTGTTAAACAACATACCTACAAAAATAGTCATATTGTCACAACTTGTAGATAAATGAGCCGCGTCACGACAAAACCAACATAGTGGGTTTGTGACCAGCATGGATCCAGACTGTTTCGCTTACCAAGTCTATTACAAGTAGAGAAACTGATAGCGAACAGCATGGATGCGCAGGCTGGTCTGGATCCATGCTGGTCGCAAACGCATTATGTTGGTTTTGTCATGACGTGGCTCAAATATTGATAAATAGTATTGTACATGTAATAGATTCATGGTACATTAAGTTAATGGTTTTATTTTTAACTTTTATTAAATTATAAATATATTATGTAGCTGGGCAGAGCCACTGTTCATAACCCTATAACAGGTAAAATAGAGACAGCTCAGTACAGAGTTAGTAAATGGTAATAGTGCTTTGTTGTGGTGTACATCTTTGCATAAGAGTGATTCTTCTATATTTGATCATCATGTTTCATAGCAGTTTTCTCTTCAATACATTATCATTGTAAAAACCAAATAAGATAATTGTTTAAAGTGCCACACTTTTTCTCACTAGCATTTTATAACCATTGAAATCTTTCTGTTCATCAATTGCACATACATATTTACAAGTACACGGAATTTGATTTATTTATGTACATAATTATTTCCAATGCAGGTGTTTGCTAACATTTGAAACAAAACAAAAAAACCCAAAAGCTTTTAATATTATTTCATCCTGATGAAGTTATACTTTTATCTTAACTATTGACATCCTTACTGAAATGATGATCAGGCACAATAAAACATTAGGAGATAGTAAATAGAAAACTGCTATAAAACATGTGATTAAAATTGTAAAAAGTGGCTTAAGTTCCTTCAGTTTTAATTTGTTTATATATAATATATGCATGCATGTGTTTTCTGGAAAAAAAGGTTTTTATTTGTAATTTAGCTTGGTAGGGCAACTGTACACAATCCTAAGACAGGAAAGCTGGAGACTGCTGGTTACCGTGTTAGCAAAAGGTAATCATTATCATATAATGCTGTTTCCCAGCTTCATCTTGCAAGATGCAGACATATATATATGGGATGTTCAATAGTGAAAACATGGTTGGTGGTGGGATAAAGAAGGTGTATCAGGTGAGCGAGAAAGTGTATCTTTTGCAAGCTATAAGGAGCCAAGATGCACTTTCACAGCGAATCAAATAAACCTTCTCCATCCCGACACCAAATATGTATGATGTATTTGATTTATCCTCCTTTTGTCTAGTGTAATCATGTTTTTCTGATATATTTAAACAGTTTCATTCTTACTCTTTATCCGATAAAACAGCGTCTACATGTAATTTTCTTTGCCGCTAACTATGTGACATCAGCATAGGCTAATCATTTGACGTAATGACTGGAGATAGATAAGTTTATCCGGCAAGGCTTTATCCAGCTGATAATATAGACAGTAGCAGGATAAAAAGTGTTCTGTATTGTGGTCTTTACTTTTATGTTATCTCTGACTCATATAAACCATAGCAAGTTATATGAGCCGCATCATGACAAAACCAACATAATGGATTTGTGACCAGCATGGATCCAGACCAGCTTGCGCATCCACGCAGTCTGATCAGGATCCATGCTGTTCCCTGTCAGTTTCTCAACTTGTAATAGAGTTAGTAAGCAAACAGCATGGATCCTGATCAGACTGCGCGGATGCGCAGGCCGGTCTGGATCCATGCTGGTCGCAAACCCATTATGTTGGTTTTGTCATGGTGCGGCTCATATGTTGACAACTTCAATTACAACTGTTATTTGTGTGTGTTTGTTTTCTGAACATCTAAATGTTGCATGCAGGTGATGGTAACAAGCTTGTAACTATCTTCAACATTGTGTAAGTGAATGATTTATCTTTGTTATGCATTTAAAGATCCCTATCTGTATCTAAATGGAGATTATGCTCATCATTTTGATTCTTTACTCAGAATTATGGTTTCTATATACATGTATTAGCATGGGGCCTTGACAGGTTAATCCTAGGATATCTCAAGAAGTACATGTATACATATATTGTTGATGAAACCATATATGTGAATAGATTGTGATAGGCAATTTAAAGATTATGCAAGAGTTGTTTTAACTCACCTTTTTCAGAGCTATTACTAGGGTCATGGTGGTGTTGTGGTCTGATTACTACAATTTTTTATTGGATTATCTTTATACACAATATTCCTTTGTACAAAACTTTCAAGAAAACATGCTGAACTTGACTTTGACTCACGAAGTAACCTTCATTTTGAAGGCAAAATTATTGAATTTTGCTTGATGTTAGCTAAACTTGCTATAACTGCAATAGCTATAATTTTCGTGATAATTTTCGTGATTGGATTGTCTTCATCCTTGGACACTTCAAGTTTTAGGACAAGACTTTCAAACTTAACTTTGCCTGACATTCACGGTCAAATACTTGAATTTTGATAGAATTAGCCTTAAATTTGGATGGATTTTATTCACCAACAAAATATGTTAAATTATTATGACCTTAATATATAAATGACCTTGACCATCAAGGTCAAATTTGAAATTTTAATTGAATTCTGTACCAAAAAAAATAATAAATAAATATTGTCTTTGAAGAGGCTTCACCACAGTTCTACCTTTTGAAATTTGAAAATGTCAGGCCCCAATTCGCCTCCATGTGATAATTCAACAGTATATGGGCTGCATGATTAAACTTGTTGAAAGTTAGTTTCTGAAAATATGGAATATTTTTGTTGTTGCAGTGGTATTGGTTGGATACTTACGTGTTGTCTGCAGCTCCAACTTACAATATAATTTTAATTTAATTTAAATATAAAATCAGTGCCATTTGTGACAGTGACCTGTGTAATATGTAATTAAGATCAGACTTAAAATAATAATTAAATGTTACTTGTTCCAGTGTAGTTTTGTAATGATTGTGTATAATTAGAATAACCGTTTTCAAAAGCTTTGTTAAGACACAATGCCTTTTCATTGAACTGTAATAAATTTTATGACTGAATTGAAATTAGAATTTTTAAAGAAACTTTGAAGAACTTAAACTTAATTAGAATTGATTGAATGACAATATTTGTTCAAAAATTCGTAATTATCTTTAATGTTGAGATATGTATATATAAATGAGTATATGATATTTATATTTGCAGTTGTTGGTTATCGGATTATGACTCGCCAGAAATAGCTCGTGTAAATGCACGTATAGCAGCTACCACAGGACTTAACATGGAAACAGCGGAAGAATTACAAATTGCCAACTATGGCATCGGTGGTCAATATGAGCCTCATTTTGACTTTGCTAGGGTAAACAAATTTTTCTTTTTCTTGTTTTTTTTTTACAATTTATAAAATAACTGTAGCTACAGAAAATATCAATATGATAAATTGTTACACTGTTGTGAAATGCTATAAACATTTAGTTTACATGCAGTGACATTTGAAGTATAGTGATATAGGTATTTGTCTTTGTGTAATGTCTAACTAGATTAAAATCTACGTCTACTAGATTTTAAGAAAGACTATTTTGTACTAATAGTTGTGACCAAGAATCACTTAAGGTCTGCTTTTATTGTTACTGGGATTTTTTCTCAGTTAGTATAAATGATCAGAAAAGCATTAGGTGAATGATGAATATTTCTACCATTAATGATGTGATATTTTGATTTTAATGCCATGCTTCCTATAGAAACGAGAACCAACAGCTTTTGAAAGGCGAATAGGGAATAGGATAGCAACTTATATGTATTATGTAAGTGTTTGTTTTGTTGTATTGTGTATTGTTGTGAGGTTGGAATATCCTACTGGTATGGTAACACATTTATGTAAGATTTACAAGATACTGTATATGTTAAAATAAATATTAGTAAATGAACAAAAATAGACATATGTTGTGCAGTGTTGAATTGTGATAAACTATCATTTATCATTTTGGCTTATTGATAAAAGGTGAAACAAGCTCAATATTTTATTTTTTTATGGATAAAGTATAACTTTAAGCAACATTATTTTGATTTCAATTTGAATTTTTTCGGTACATTTACATAAATGTGTACATGTACATGTATAATGTATGGATGTTTCAATCTCAAGAGTATAGAAAATATGCAAAATGTGCAGTGCAGTAAAAGCCTGGTGTCAGAGTTATTTTTTGGATATATTCTAACACGATTTTAATAGATTGATGATCTAAAAGCATGTGTTGTTTACAGTTTTATTGCATGTACATTTTGCATAATTTCGCCTATAATCTTACATAGATTGGGAACATATTTTGGCAATCTTAATTTAAATTTATAATTCAGCCATTTTACAACAGTAAAATGAGTTATATTTGTGTTGTCAAAATATGAACCATATGATGTACCTAGTCTATGGAAAGATACGCCTGTATATATCTGGCTTTTTTGCTTTGATCTATTCTCATCTTACCATAATTCAGAAAGAAGAAAAAGCATTTGAAGGTCTAGGAACTGGTAACAGAATAGCTACACTCATGTTCTATGTAAGTTGTAATTAATTGAAAGAACCTGTGAGATAATTGGATGTATTGGGCAAGTTCAAACTGTACAAATTCTGGTGTAAACAAATTGTCAAGTCTGTGTGATACTGACCATTGGATGGGTACAAGATTTGGACTTGGGTACCTGTGTCTAATCTAATCACGTGTGGGTACCTGCTCATAGTACTCAATCAATGTTTAACTTCAAATTTTCCAAAATTTTTAAAAGAAACAGACTTGTACATTGTCCATGATTAAAATGTCAAAATATAATGGGAAAAATAACAAGTGATTAATAGATTAGTACCAGTCTTAAAATTAGACGATACTTTGATGGTTGAACTTTACTAGCAAGCCTAGCATGGACATACCTAGCAAATTGGCAACATCCATATTACTGGAATGTGCATTTTGCATGATAGGCCTTACTATTTCAAAGCAGTTTTCTTAAAAGTCATCTTATTTCTTAACATGAACATGGTAAAAATGCTGTAAATGCTCAACATTTCACTTTGTCATTTATAACTCAGGACAGTTATTGTTGCTGTTGTTGTAGTACTAGAATTATAAAGTGGCCAGTGGCTTTAACACTACTTGATATTTTGAATTAATAATGTATTGGTTAGATGGTTTGGAATATGCTACCCGAATATATATCTTTATACAATGTACTCTTTTATAATAAGGAATTCATTTAATTTCTTTTTAAAAAATGTTGTTCAATTTTTAGCTCATCTTTTATGAAGAAAAAATTGAGCTTTTATGATCACTGCATCATTGTCGTACAAGAAAATTAAAAGTCATTAACACAATACATGGCATACTTGCTTATCAGTTGTAAACTAAGGGGCATCATTCTGAAAGCTGTAGCCTGGAGTTGTTCCCCTCTTTGACGTTCAAAGTGGTCATTGATAATCAATTCCCTTTACAGACAAGAGTTAACTATGCATGCAGTGCACTTGTGTACTTTATAAAATTTTGAGTTTTAGCCATAGTACTGTTGTTTAAAGGTATGGCAATCTTAATACTGTACATTTTAATGCTGTCTGATTTTAAATGAAATTTATGTTGTATTTTCAATGTTGTTGTTTATGCAGTTTTTCATGAATATAAAAACTCATTAAAAAATGGACTTGGATAAGAAAATGGGATTTTTTTTTGAAAACACAAATCTAGGACATCTCATTTTATGTGTATGTTTATAAAGAATTGACATTCACAAATTACTCTATTGATATTGCTACTTCTAAATAACAATATAAGATTTATCTCAAGATTTTAATTTATTGTTATATTTGTTATCAAATTTCAGATGTCAGATGTGCAGGCAGGTGGTGCAACAGTTTTTCCATATCTTGGTTTGAAAATATTCCCAGAAAAGGTATGTACTTATGAATTAAATTTTCTTAGGGAATATTGAGCTCGTAAGATATTAGATAATATACATGGCCTAAATCATTTGATTTTTTTGGTATATAATCTCTGTAGAGAAACTAATTAAAATAGTGAATATTTTGAAGCTTGGACACTAACGTATGATTGAGTTGCCTGCCTCTAAATCATTTTATCAGCTTTAAGTACCATTATTTTTTCTCTTGACTGGTTTTTGCCAGTTAAACACTAAAACACAAAACAGTACTTCAGTCATATATTAGGAGGTAACTACTAAAAGAATATTCCTGAACCATGCGTTGGTTTTAACCTGTGTTTGAACTAGAAACTTAAAGTAATTTCTGTTATAAATTTGGTATAGTTTTAGTGGACTATTACACACAATAAAATTGACTTTGATTGAGATGATGTTCTTATTATTCCACTATATTTACTTAAAACTTCATGTATCATCATCATTATTCTTTTTGTTGTTTCAGGGCAAGTCTGTATTTTGGTATAATTTATATAAGAATGGAGAAGGAATCTTTGATACTCGTCATGCAGCGTGCCCTGTGCTGGTTGGCTCTAAATGGGTGTCCAATAAATGGATACATGAGAGAGGTCAAGAATTTAAACGGCCATGTGGTCTGAGAGAATCTGAATGATAACATTTATATTTATATATATAAAGGATAATTTCAAAATGTTTAAATGACATTGTTACAAATGTTTCTTGCTAAAGTATGTACTCCAAGTCCAAGGTTATAAAAACTCTTGTAGACAAGTCTTCTGATACCTGATTGGCTGATAACAAATATTTAATTATCCAATGGCTGGGCAGTATTGCGAGACTGGTCTCCATGCATATGTTATAACTTTTGAGCTGTGTTAATGGGACCAAATAGTTGATATAATTTTTCATTTAAGGTTATTTAAAGGCTTTGTCAAATGATTTAGGTGTATTATGTAATTTATAAAGTGATTTATGTTCTAAGTGAAAGTTGATAACAAATTTGTCTTAAAGTATGCGTAGTAAACATATGATTGAAATAATATAAAAAGCCAAAAAAGATGTCAGAATTTTACTTTATAAATCTTTATTATGTCCCTGGGCATAAAGTAATTGAACTGTCCGTCAGCACTTCCATGAAGATCAATAATATCAAAAGAAATGGCCCCTTATCCCAATTTCAATACTTGTCTGTCAGTTCCTAAATCAGAAAGTTGGATATTTCTAAGTTCCACCTGTAACAGTGACTTAAAAATGAACATATTTGTCTAATCATTACAAGACACATAATCTTGGCAAGGTACATAACTATAGTGCCACTATTTCCAAGTTATTTCCCTTTGTAGTACTTTGAAACCTAAACCAGCAAGTTAGATATATCCTTAGTTCCAGGGTACTAATAGCTTCATAATTTTAACACTTGCTTATCAATACAAAGTATATAACTGTGCCAAGTTATTTCCCTTTATGACTTTGCAAAAAGGACCTGGTTAAAATGGTTAACCTTTTCTGGCAAGTTGGATTTATCTTAAATTTCTCCTAATAACTTCATTTTCGTAAAGTTATCTTCCATATTTGGTAGATGGATACCTTTAATTTTCCTCACTGGGGTCAAGGTCACAGTTGTAAATTTTTTTCTACACTTTTGCTCATTCAGCCTTTTATAAACTGATGTATTTCATGTTTAATAGGGTGGAGTTAGGGGTCATCAGTGCCAAAAATAGATTTTTACACTTAACAAGCTTTATTAGATGTCTTTGATATTTGGTAGGAACATAACTTGTGTAACTTCTATCTTTGAGTAAAAAGATAGGTTTTTAAGCTTTTGCATATGCAGCTTTTATTTATTGACTGATGTTTTCATATTTGAAAAGAATATTCTTTACATGGTTCATAGTTGGAAGTCATAATGTGAAGGTCACCTGTGCTAACAATAGATTTTAACACTTTCTTTTACAGTCCTTATTTCTTCATATTTGGAAGGATTATACCTTTTGTGATGGTCAAGGTCTTACATTTATATATGATTACTTTAATATGGCAAATTGAATATAATTAAACTTCATCATAGTAATGACATTCCAGCATACATTTTTTACAATAACAAAAGCCCAAAAGTGTCTCTCTTAATTTTACAATTTTTTTGACAACTTTGTGTCTTTTTTCTGTTATTGGGTTAATATTTTTTGGAAAATTTATTAGTGACAAGAATCTGGGCTGGGGGCATTTGTGTTTACCAAACATGTTTTTGTTTGATATCTTTTTTGGTTTATGTAAACATTTTGACTTACAAAATAATCAAGATTTTCTTATAGAACATGAGTAGCTTATATCATGGCCAGGAACATTACATTGTGAAGGTAATAGCTTAATATGTGATGCATACGGTCATGAATAAGAAAAGGTTGATTTAATATTTGAATTCTAACAGACTCAAAAGATATTGAATTGGAGAAGAAAATCAAAATTTTACTGTTATTTAAAACCTTGCATGTTTTGGTGGAATTTTTTTGTTGATTTTTTTTTCATTTCTCATTTGAATTAGTTTTGTGAATTGCTTTTATATGTCTACATTATTTCTGCTAACAGCTGAGCTTATCTTGATCTGTATTTTATTGTGAACTTGTATTTAGAAAGTTTTGTTCAGCCATATGGAAGGGTGTGGTTGTTATATATAAACTCTGCTCAATATTTTTACAGCTAAATGTGCTTGTATCAAGATAATCTTTTCTTCACTATCAAATTGCAACATTGGGGTTTTCTTTGCAGCTTGATTAAAAAATTTTTAAGAGTAGCTTATCCATTACACAAGGTTATAGGTGTAAATATATTTTTGTTTTCTTGCCGTCCAAAAATGCTTCTTCCCATTTTGCTTTATTTAGAACTGATGTTAAATGGCCAGTATTTGTTTGCTTCTTGTATTTGTGTTTTAAAATATTTCACCCATTAATAGCATTTGTGATGTTAAGATTTTTAAAAGTACATGTAGATTTATACCATACTTACATGGTTTTCTAGGGGAATGACAGTATTTTTTTAATCCAGATTTATTCTCATCTATGGGCCTTTAAGTCCAAATGGTTAAGGTAGCTGACTTGGAAAACCTTGCACCATGCTTATATGGGTTCAAGTCATACCAACAGCTTTGCATGTTGTCATCTGCAGAAGATATTTAGCAAACTTGTTAAAGGTAAATTATATTATTAATATGCTTACTTGTGTCTACAATATTGCACAGAGAGGCTAGAAAGACCTCAGATTACGTATTTATATTGTCAGTGTGACAGCATTCCCATTCTATAAATGGGTGAATAAACTAACTGTATGTAATCTTTTAAATACTAGTATACCAAAATTTTCATGTATGTGGCATTGCTTAAAATTATATTATTTGTAACATCAGTTGTATGATGTAAATCACAACTTTTATTTATTGTTTTAAGAATGTATTGTTTTATTGAGCAAGTAGAGTTGTTTTATTGAGGATTTAGTATTGTTAAGGATAATGGATTGTTGAAATCATGCTTCTGAAATCCTGAATGTCATAATATATTGTTTGCTTGTTTTACAAGTGTTCTACAAAATAAACAAGGTGACTTGGTGTAAATTTACATATTCCTTTGTTAATGTTATCCATGCTGAATACAAAAGTATTAAAGATCTCATATTTGACTAGGGTGCCTTTAAATCCATAAAAAGGTTGTTTTAAATAAATTTGTTGCAAATTTTGTTGTTATGTTTACTAAATATAACTTCCAGAGTTAAATATGACAAAATGACACATGCCCAGACCATTTAGAAACTTTAAACTTTATTAGACATTCAAATTCAATGTAACATACCGGTAGTTTGGAGTTTTGTTTTTGCTTTTTGTCATTTTGAGAGTGATTTTGTCAAATATGGTATTTGTGTTTTTAAATTAATAATCTGCATAGTGCTAGGTAATCTGAGAAGTAAAATAATCTCCAAACATCTCAATGTACATTATTAGATTTGTATAACCACTGTTAATTATATCTTTATGTAAGGATGATTTTTTTATGTTAGAACATTTTTTATATCATTGGTCAAGTGTTTTTTATTGCAATAGCCAAACTTTATTTTTTTATTTGAATTTGACACGGATAATTTTCAGAATAAGTTCTGTTTCTAGTGATATTGTATTTAAATATGACCTTGTTCTGTTTGACTGATTTGTTGTTAGTGCATGCTACATTTCATTTGAAACAGTGTTTTATAAACTGTAGGACGGTATTTGATCATTACACCTTTGTGCCATCTGTTGTGCAATAAAACATCTCAAAGAGATTTTAATATAGTAGTACTTATATAAGAAATGTTAATTAAACATGTTAATGTAGATATTTAATTTTACATCCTATACACTAGTGTAAATGACAGCAAATTTGATTTGCCATGGCCGTTTAGAAATACAATCTCATTAAATCTCATTAAAATGATATCAAAACTGTCACTCCACTACCCTTAGCCAGGTAGCAAGGAGAAACAGAGCAAAACGATGATCTTATTTTAATGAGATTGTTCAATTTGACAAAATACTGTACATGCTTTTTATCATTTTTTTTTTACTTTTATCATTTTAAATATATCAAACATGCTGTATGGTAGTTATTGAGGGGAATTTATTGTTGTACATGAATACTGATATACAATTTGCAATACTTAAAACGAGACAATATATTTTAAAATAAAATAGTCTATGCAAATTTTGAAGTGTTTAAAATTCAGGAGTCTTAATTAAAGAAATTGTTGCATGTCAATAATGGCTAAATTGTAAATATGATAGTAATCATCAAATTTATGTTAATCTCTACACTGAAACTTAAAGGCCCATATTAATTTGTCTCCTAACATTAATTTTGTATTACAGTGTATTAAGAATAAATAAACTGAAATTTAGTATCCTTTTGTATGTATGGTCAAGTGTACTTGTATTGTATTTTAAGTTGTCCTGGTTTGTACTTGCACTTGTATGTTAAGTTGTCCTCGTCTCTGTGTAACATAAATACATGTTTAATTTTCATTTTATAATATACTCAATGCTTGAAAATATACAAGTAAATATAGATTGTAATATATAAAAATATGTTTTTTAAATACCAAATATTTTTTAAAAAATGAGTCAATTGGCAAACTTTTACTTGAAATAAAATATTCACAACTGAACATTTGCTTCAATTATTTTCTTCACTATTTTTCATGTATTAAACTGCATAAAAGTAACAATTCTTACATAAGACTACTTAATTATTGTTTATCTTTGAAAAACAAATTGATAATTTATGCAATTGAACTTCAAGAATGTTGTCTGTTTAATAAAAAAGTCTTTCCTGTGTTTATCTTGACACAAGTCTAATGAAATGTGATGATTTGATATTTTTAGCTCACCTGTCACAAAGTGACAGAGTGAGCTTTTGTGATCGCTTTTCGTCCGTCCGTAAACTTTTACTTTAAATGACATCTCCTCATAAACCGCTGAGCCAATTTCATCCAAACTTCACAGGAATGTTCCTTTGGTGGTCACCTTTAAAAATTGTTCAAAGAATTTAATTCCATGCAGAACTCTGTTTGCCATGGCAACCGAAAGAAAAAACTTTAAATATCTTCTTTAAAAAAACCCTAAGAGATAGAGCTTAGATATTTGGCATGAAACATCGTCTAATGAGTGTCTACCAAGTTTGTTCAAATAAAAGCCCTGGGGTCAAAATTGGCCCTGTCCCAGGGGACTTTGATTTTCCCTATATGCATATAGTAAAATCTTAAAAAATCTTCTTTTAAAGAACTGAAAGAGCTTGAGCTAAGATCTTTAGCATGAAACATGTTCTAATGGGTGTCTACCAAGTTTGTTCAAATAAAAGCCCTGGGGTCAAAATTGGCCCCGCCCCGGGGGTCATTGATTTTCCTTATATGTGTATAGCAAAAACTTAAAAAAACTTCTTTGAAAAAACCCAAATAGCTAGAGTTTAGATATTAAGCATGAAACATCTTCTAGTGAGTGTCTACCAAGTTTGTTCAAATAAAAGCCCTGGGGTCAAAATTGGCCCGTCCCAGGGGGTCATTGATTTTCCCTATATGCATATAGTAAAAACTTAAAAAATCTTCTTTTAAAGAACTCAAAAAGCTAGAGCTAAGATATTTAGCATGAAACATGTTCTAATTGGTGTCTACCAAATTTGTTCAAATAAAAGCCCTGGGGTCAAATTTGGCCCAGCCCCGGGGGTCATTGATTTTCCTTATATGATATAGCAAAAACTTAAAAAATCTTCTTTGAAAAAACCCAAATATCTGGAGTTTAGATTTTTAAAGCATGAAACATCTTCTAGTGAGTGTCTACAAAGTTTGTTCAAATAAAAGCCCTGGAGTTAAAATTGGCCCCGCCCAGGGTGTTATTGATTTTCCTTATATTTGTATAGCAAAAACTTAAAAATCTTTTTGAAAAAACCCAAACAGCTAGAGTTAAGATATTAAGCATGAAACATCTTCTAGTAATTGTCTACAAAATTTGTTCAAATAAAAGCCCTGGGGTCAAAATTGGCCCCGCCCCAGGGGTGTCATTGGTTTTAACTACATGTGTATAGTAAAAACTTAAAAAATCTTCTTTAATAAAAAACCCAATGAGCTAGAGCTTTGATGTTTAGCATGAAACATCTTCTTATGGGTGTCTACCAAGTTTGTTCAAATAAAAGCCCTTGGGTTAAAATTGGCCCTGCCGAAGGGGGGGGGAGGGGGGTAGATCGTTGTTTTTCATTATATGTGTGTAGTAAAAACTTAACATTGTGAAACATCTTCTAATGGGTGTCTTCCAAGTTTGTTCAAATAAAAGGCCTGGGGTTTAACTGGCCCCGCTCCGGGTGCCTTTATACAGGTGAGCGACCTCAGGGCCATCATGGCCCTCTTGTTTAATGTTCATCTAAATTTTTATCAAACATTTTATGATAGAGTTATACAGAGATGTTTTGTTCTATGTGCATGATGAATCTCTGAAATGTTTTGTGAAATTAATATCATTACAGAATAAATGAATTTGCATTAATTACAAAATGACTTCCTTTATTATACTTTATTTTCCATGGCCAAAACAAGTTATAATGATTGTTTTTTTTTTAGTCCCCTACCGGTTTACCGAAGGGGACTTTAGGTTTACCCTCCGTCCGTCTGTCAGTCCGTCAGTCCACAAAACTGGATCCCGCGATAACTTGAAAAGTACTGAAAATATTTTTATGAAACTTGATATATGGATAGATGGCAGTATGGAGATTATGCACGTCTTTTTCTTTTCTTCCTATGTTGAAAATTCTGGTTGCTATGGCAACAAATAGGCTGAAAATATGGCAAATTTTACACATAAACTGGATCCAGTGATAACTCAAAAAGTACTGGAAATATTTTGATGAAACTTGATATTTGGATAGATGGCAGTATGGAGATTATGCACGTCTTTTCTTTTTCTTCCTATGTTGAAAATTCTGGTTGCTATGGCAACAAATAGACTGAAAATATGGCAATTTTTACACATAAACTGGATCCAGTGTTAACGCAAAAAGTAATAGAAATATTTTTACTAAACTTGTAATATGTGTAGATGGCAGTCTGGAGATTATGCACATCTTTTTCTTTTCTTCCTATGTTGAAAATTCTGGTTGCTATGGCAACACATAGACTGAAAATATGGCAAATTTTACACATAAACTGAATCCAGTGATAACTCAAAAAGTACTGGAAATATTTTTATGAAACTTGACATGTGGGTAGATGGCAGTCTTGAGATTATGCATGTCTTATCTGTTCTTCCTATTTTGAAAAAATATTGGTTGCCTTGGCAACAAATAGGCTTAAAACATGGCAAATATAACAATTTTTGTGATTAGTCAAAGAGCTGAAAATTTTTATGAAATTGCATCTTTAATTCCAGAGTTATCTCCTCTTTAAGAATTTTGCTTTTTAAAATGTTATATTTTGGTAACAGGCATGTTTCAAATATTAACTTTAGAGTGTCCTTCAGTCCGTCTGTCTGTCTGTTCATAAAAACTTTTTCCTGTGATCACTTTTAAAGAACATTTCCAACAAATTTACTTAAAATAGAGAAAAATTTAAACATTAGTGAATGGCCAATGGCCCTTCAGAATGCTGATGGGGTTCTAACCGGTAGGGGACTTATGGATTGCTTGCAATACTATGATAATTGCTTGTTTTAATTAGTAAGCTCCCCCAATAGGAACACATAGGGCCACAGCTTCTGTCTGTCCATCGAGGCAACAAAGACATTTTGCCCCATAACCAGAGGCTGATGTAAGGTCCCATTCTCAATAAAAAAATCATTTATGGCCATTTGTCCCATTTCTGTCATGAAATGGTCAAAATTATTCCATTAAAAGAGGTGTGCATAAAAGCAGAGTAGTATTACAATTCAATGGCTGCTCTGGCAGATATTTCCCTCAAATGACTTCTCAGCTTAAATTGTTGTCCACACTATTTCTAAGCAACTACTGGTAACTTAATTAGGAATCTTCACTATGTAGATATGTGCATATTAGTACATTGTTGATTTTCTGTTTCAATAACTTCACAAAGTTATACCTTATTCATGATTATTTAAGTCCTTGTGTTTGAACTATTTTGCAACAACCACTCACCAAAAGTTACCAAAACTACATGAATATTGGTTAGGTTGAGCCATTACAATCAAATATTTTCTGTGTGTTTGTACATGAATGAATAATGTCATTTCCCAACAAGTGGTTATGATTTTACAATTTTTTATGATTATATGTAGGTGCATGTCGTTGTTGCCTTGTCAGTTCATATAAATATATACACACAAAGATGGCTATAGAAACAACAGATTACTTTTTTCTATTGCATAGCTTAATGAACTATAAATGTGTCCATAGGACACGGGTGCCCCCACCGCGCCACTGTTCTGTCAATCTTATGACTCTAGGTCAAATATTTTTTGAAAACTAAAAATCTTTTACAGAAACAACAGTCAACAACTAATAATGAACACTTCATCGAAATATCCAAAAAACTACGACAATGTAAAACCTGCAACAAATCTCTGAAAGGATCAAAAAGTAACTTCAACCGACACTTTAAAATTCACCAAGACACGAAATTATGATTTATATGCTACATCTGCAACAACTCTTTTAGCCGACGTGAACACCTCCAGAAACACAGTAATACGATACACAAACAACCACTAAAACGATACCTCACCAAATTAGAGAAAAAACACGACAACATTGAAATAAAACCTATCAAACCTTGGAAAAAACCTTTTGAAGCAACCACCATACCAAAATTCCGTATAATACCCGGCGTAAAATCATGGCTACAGAATACATCAAAATCAACAACGGACGAAATTTTAAAAGAAATGAAAATAGATCCGGAATTATCCCCACTTCAACTGTCACCCTTTAGAAGTAACAATCCTTCGCCGTGCAGCAGTCACACAAGCACATCAACCAATTGCCAGGATGAAAAAGAAACACTGAATGACGTTAACATAAACATTTATTCCATTTACGGTATTTTTTCTTAAAAGCATACAGCTAAATATAGATTATGGGGTAAACCCAAAATGACAAAATTTAAACTATTTTTAGAACAAATCACGTGACGTAAAGTATACCCGATTTTTATGCGTTAGACAATGATTTTTCTAGTAATCTGATATTTTATAACCCTGATGAAGACTCGTGAGAGTCGAAACGTTGGTTAGCATCATTAAATAAACCTTAAAACTTATCCTGTGTTGATTGTTTGTTCCACTTTTATTGTTTCTCTTGAATCTTTTACTAAGTAAAGGGCAATAACTTTACAAATACTGAGTAAATCCACAAGCAAAGCCAATGTGCATAAGTACACATGCTGACAAACATTCTTGTAAACTTTCAGGCCTAGATGCTTTTTGAGCTATGCATGAACAAGTTTAAAATTGCAAATTTATACTGAGTCAAAGGCAATAACTCTAACAAAACTGCAAAAATCCACATGCAAAACCCCAGGTGCACAGCTTCACAGTGATGTTGATCATTATTCCTGTAATTTAGTGATGTTGATTATTATTCCTGTAAAATTGGTTGATTCTAACTCAAGCACTCAAGGAACAAATAACAACATAATGAAACGGTTTTTAATAAGTCAAGGGAAATAACTCTACAAATACTGGATAAATCCACAAGCGAAACCCCAGGTGCAAAACTAAATATGCTGAGCAACCTTCCCGTAAGGTTTAATGACTATGTCAAATCCTTTTTGAGTTTCATGCGACACAAGTTGAAAATTGCAAAAATTTTCTAAGTCAAGGGCAATAACTCTAAAAAAAACTAAATAAATCCAGACAAAAATACCCAGGTGCACAACTACACATGCTGATCAATATTCCTGTAAAGTTTCAGGACTATGTCAAATCCTTTTTGAGTTACATGCGACACAAGTTGAAAATTGCAAAATTTTACTAAGTCAAGGGCAATAACTTAAAAAATACTAAATAAATCCAGACGAAAATACCCAGGTGCACAACTTCACATGCTGATCAACATTCCTGTAAAGTTTCATGACTCTAGGTCAAATACTTTTTGAGTTATGTGCGACACAAAAGAGAACGGACGGACGGATGGACAGACAAGGGTAAATCTAAATGCCCGCCACTAAAGTGGGGGCACAAAAATAGGGAGAAATAAACAAGAGGGCCATGATGGCCCTGAAGTCGCTCACCTGTATATAGGCCCCCGGAGCGGGCCAGTTTAAACCCCAGGGCTTTTATTTGAACAAACTTGGTAGACACCCATTAGAAGATGTTTCATGCTAAACACCTAAGGTCTAGCTCGTTGGGTTTTTTAAAAGAAGTTTTTTCAAGTTTTTTCTTTACACATATAGTTAAAAACAATGACACATCTGGGGCAGGGCCAGTTTTGACCCCAGGGCTTTTATTTGAACAATCTTTGTAGACACTTACTAGCAAATGTTTCATGCTTTATATCTAAACTCTAGCTATTTGGGTTTTTTCAAAGAAGATTTTTAAGTTTTTGCTAAACACTGTATGATATAAGGAAAATCAATGTCCCCCGCGGCGGGGCCAATTTTGACCCCAAGGCTTTTATTTGAAGAAACTTTGTAGACACTCACTAGAAGATGCTTCATATCTAAAGTCTAGCTATTTGAGTTTTTTCAAAGAAGATTTTTTTATTTTTTGTTATACACATATAAGGAAAATGAATGACCCCCGGGACAGGCCAATTTTGACCCCAGGGCTTTTATTTGAACAAACTTGGTAGACACTCACTAGAAGATGTTTCATGCTTAGTATCTAAACCTTAGCTATTTGTTTTTTTTTTTCAAAAAAGATTTTTTAAGTTTTTGCTATACGTATAAAAGGAAAATCAATGACCCCCGGGGCGGGGCCAATTTTGACCCCAGGGCTTTTATTTGAACAAACTTAGTAGACATCCATTAGAACATGTTTCATGCTAAATATCTTAGCTCTAGCTCTTTGGGTTCTTTAAAAGAAGTTTTTTAAGTTTTTACTATATGCATATAGGGAAAATCAATGACCCCCTGGGGCGGGGCCAATTTTGACCCCAGGGCTTTTATTTGAACAAACTTAGTAGACATCCATTAGAACATGTTTCATGCTAAATATCTTAGCTCTAGCTCTTTGGGTTCTTTAAAAGAAGTTTTTTAAGTCTTTACTATATGCATATAGGGAAAATCATTCCTGTGAAGTTTGCATGAAATTGGCTTGGTGGTTTATGAGGAGATGTCATTTAAAGTAAAAGTTTACGGACGACGGACGGACTACGGACGGACGACGGACGAAAAGCGATCACAAAAGCTCACCCTGTCACTTTGTGACAGGTGAGCTAAAAAGTAGCCAATTAAATACCAAAATTTGAGGTCTTGTGTCTGTACATTTTAGATATAAGTGAGACAAAGAAACCTTATTCATAAATTATTTAGCTTTTGAATTATCTTCAATCATAATACTTAATAATGCTTGTCCAGAGATTAAGTTGAAAAGTATTGAAAGAATTTGAATTTAACTAAACACAGTAATAGTGACCAATTGATAATAATTCTACCTTGCTTAATTTTGTAATCATCCCCTTAAGTTAATGACACTTCAAGAATTGTTTTAATAATGCTTTTCCCAGGTGGCCAAGTACCATTCCTGAACTTTCATTGACATCTTATTGAAACTTTAGACCATTAGAGAGAGTACTGCTTCTATATTTCAACAATTTCATATTGTAAACAAAAGGTAGTGCAAGGTAAGTTTAAAATACAAGATCAGTGTGGTTTAAATATGTACAGCTAGGTCTGACTGTAATTATTTATTTTGAAAATAATTTACTATCACAAATCTATTCCAAATATAAAATCCTCTTTATCTTCATACTTCATAAACTCTACTTTTTCTGTTCTTATATCCTGTTTTCTTTTTTGTCTTTCTATTTCATTCATTCTGTCTTTCTCACTGAGTTGCTTCCCCTTTTCCATCATAAAGTAAAAGAAATGGAAAGAATTTCCAAATGTTGATATGTTCATATTCCAATTAAATTTATCACAGGCATATAAAGGTTTCCTAAAATGTGGCTGAGCAAATGTTATAGAGATAAACTTCCCTCCTGTCTTTAAAATCCTGCTAATCTGAAATGACATACAAAACACTTGTAGCATTAATTTTAATGTTCAAATACATTATATACAGTATTTTCAATTTCTTAAAATAGGGACTGAATAAATTTTACTTTAATTAAACATCACCAATTTACACTTTATTTCCAGTTAAAACATTTCAATACATTAAATGGATACAAATTCAACAGTATAATGGCTTAAGAGAGTTCTAAATAATATTATTAGGATTTGAAATCAATGAGTAATTCATGAACACTCATTACAAACTGGCCACTGAAATACCGTTAAAAATTTGTTCCTGCAATTAATAACATTATCTATGATCAACATTTTAATGTCAAATTCTCATCAAAAACAGATAGAGGACCCCAAAATGAAATCATAAATCTAAAGGAATTAATTCAATGGTGATTTTGAATCTTTAAGTGTGCTGTAAATATTGCCCTGGTATTTCCCTTGGATCATAGAAACATAGTATATAGTAACTGTGCAATATTATAATTTTCAACAAAAGCCATTGTACAACAGTAAATTTCATTTCTTTTAAGTGAGCCATACATTTTTACAAGTTTTAAAGAATACAAAGTACATGTATGTTGATTCATTGATAAATTAAATCTTACAAACCAATTCATTAGGATTTTTTTTTCATGATGACTACTGAAATTCTTTGACGAAGATCTTAATGTCAGAGCTTTGTGGGGCTTCCTTGTATTAACATATGATAACAATTGTAACTTTGATTTTGAAATGACATTAAACATTATAGGGGCTGATTATATATAACAAGAGATGTGAAAAGGCATACTAAATACATTATTTCAATATATTATTATCTAGATTTCCAACAGCAGTATAAAATTACAAGCTAGTTTCCACTGTCGAAAGCCAAATGAATTGAATTAGATGTGAACAACTTGACTTCCTACTGAACTTATGCACTAGTCAGTTATAACCACCACTGCCCCCTCCACTCATGAGAAATAACGAGGACTTTGACCTTTGGATTTATCAAACCCATTGTAAGTGACCCATCATGCCGAAATAGTCATAAAACCCCTATTAAAAGCCCAGCCCTGATAATTGAACATATCTCCAGCCATATAGGTACATAAATTAGACTATCCCAATGACCCGGCAGTGCAGAGACTGACAAAAAAAAAATGGCTTGCTTCCCCTCATAACCCTCACCCTTTTCCTAGGGGGGCAAGTGGTCCATGATTATAAGTGACTGGTACATTACTGACCTGTTGTAAAATGCCATCTATTTTCTGTAATGTTTCTGTAGAGGTATTCCAGGGATCTTTTTCATGCACCATTAGAGCATCAAGTGTTCCTTTTTCAAGAACAATATCATATGTGCTAGGTTCATATCTTAAATCACATATGTCCATTACTTCCCATGTCATCTCATGTAAATCAGAATGCTTGCTTCTCATTTTCTCTATCACTATAGGAGAGAAGTCAATATTAGTGATATGTTTGTAACCATCATTGTACATCTCCTCACTTAAAGAACTGTTTCCACAACCTGAAAAAAGCGAAATATCTGTATCCACAACAAAATTTAATATCATGAAAATTATACAATTAAAGCTTTTTGTAAGTTTTTTTTTGTGTTTTATCAACACCTTTATTCTATCCTGATGACTTGGTACATGAGATTTCCCCTGCTCTTTTAAATTGCATTTGTCTATTCAAATTTATCACATACCAGTGCTACTTCTTGCACTGCGTAAAAATGGTATGTATTACACAGGCGTGCATATATTTTGACATGAAATCATTTGCCTTATATAGATTTAGTAATCATATACATGTAGTGTAAAGACACACTAAATGTTAGTGTTGCACTACAAGCGCATCAATGAAAAATGATCTATTTTCATTGTACAGAGTCTTTATTTTCGGTATGTGATAATTAAATAGAATATTACAGTTGTGTAGGTTCATTACTGAATTTATTGAACTTGCATAATATAGTTGAATTCAATTTGTCCCATAAATTTGGTAATAAACTTACACTCATTCAATATTCTTTATATATAAGATTTCAATATTAAAATGGTAAAGCGGAGCTGTCTACAGTAGGCCTATAGACTGTATATATGAAGCAGTGTGTTTTAATGGAAAATGTTTTATCAGGACTTCAAATATATTGTTACATAACAAAATTAGCTGAAAAAGTGTATCTGCTGATTTCACACCACATACCAGGTATTATTCTTGTTTGGTAAAATTTAAAAGAAACAGAAATTTAGTACATGTAAAAAAAAGTTTCGCATTTCTTAGTTTATTTAGTGTTAATGGAAGTTCAAATGTTCAAAATCATCCTTAAAATTTTTCATGTACAGAAAGTCTTTACCAAGCATAAGGATTTTGTGATCGGGTTTGACATCATTTACTAGGTGGTGTCTGAATGATGAATAAGCTGAGAACCAGTCATATTTCTCTTCAGTCTGGTACCTTGTATCCCAATAGTCTTGTTCACGGTAATCAGCATTGTTAGCTGGGGGCTCCATATCCTGTTAAATACAGAACTTATATTGATATTCTATAACAGTTCAAAAACCATTGTATCATAGTTTGGGGACCTTTCTGTTGAAAATGTGTCAGAGTTAAATCGTATACATTTACATGCACAGTGCGTTAACTGGAGTGCAGGTATTAGTTACCCGCACTCCAGAGCATGCTCATTGATTGGTTCATTTTTGCTGGGGTTTACATAATGTGGCGGCAGAGAGAGTGAAAGCGACAGAAATATCATATTCAGATGCTCGTTCATTGGTTTCTTTTTTCTTTATTGTGACAACAGGGAACGTGTTTTTATGTTTGACTATGATACAAAAAAGAAAGAACATCAAAATAATCGGCAATACTCGGGGGGCTACGCCCCCTCGTACAAATCAGATAGCCTCATGTTTCGATATGCTCTTTCTATTACTTAGAGAGGTCTATTCCTAAATCATGTGACCATATAACATGGAATTAAAATTATTTACTTTGAATATGATGCCAACACCCGTCAATGAGTAGGAAAAGTTAAAGAACCCTTCTATTTTATCAATACATATAAATTCTGCATTTTAATGTTCTATCAAATATCACATGGGGATTATGATAATTATCTATCATGATCTCATATAGGGACCCATACTTAATAACATTTATATCAACAAGAGCCACAAAGTTCGTGGCAGTAAATGCCAGCAGTGGCCAAGCTCAACAAAGTCAAACACATTGAAGGGAAAACATTGTCATAAAGAATTTTTTTTTCGCTCCTAGAAAGTATCTATCTTGAACAAATATAATTCAAATATAATATCTGACAGTTAAGGTCAAGGTCAAATCTGAATTTATAGTTATATCTGTTTTGTCATTGTCAATCCATTCATGCACCAAGGCACTCTGATGGTGATACTACTAGCAAGCCTGAAGAGCAGACAAAGCCAGCATTACTGTTATGTGAGTATCTTTAGAGTGACTATTTCGAAAAGTTTTGACAAAAGAAAAGTAAAATTATTGGTAATAAGAATGCCTGCTCTTCATTTAGAGGTTGATCCGGTTCCCTGTCCTAAATTTTATTAAACTCATTTACACATACTAAAAGTTTATGCTTTTTTCATTCCATCTATCACAGTAATTTGAAATTTATGTAATTTTATCTCAGTATAACTTGGCAAATAGTCTCAATTTCCTTCAACTGGTGGGGACACAAAATTTTGAAATTGGTACAAAATGACTAAATGTGGCCTTGACCTAAAGGAGGTCAAACCTGTGCTCTGCACATCGTCTCATAATGGTTCACATTTCTACCAATAGTTTCAATTTCCTTTGGTTCAAAAGATACTGACCAGAACGAAATCTGCTAACAGACGGACGAACAAAAGTAATTCTCGATCAAAATTTTTGTAAAGACACATAGGCGAGATAGCTCAGTTAGTAAGTAGACCACTGGCAGTCACTCCTGAGGTCCCGGGCTCGATCCTGGGCAACAGCCTTGGGATTTTTCAGAGACACATTCAGTGTTTCTCACCAAACTAGAGGTGTACTTGTAAGAAATCCAGGTTATCCTCGCATGAATCAGTGCTATACACTGGGCATTTAAAAGAATGAAGGGGTCTATTCCATAAGAGCTAGGGAGTAGGGACTAGTTCCTGGATTCCCTTGTATCTCATAGCTTTCTCTCAAGTGATCGACTAGTCTAGAGTTATGTCTACATCCCCGCAAGGGGTTTGACATTAATGGAAGATAGATAACATTCTGAATAAAACTTGTATAATAATACACTAAAGAAAACGGAATGAACCTTATATATACTTCTGGTTTAAACCCAGGGGTCTATTCCACTATTGCCCACTGTAATGCCAGTATTGTACATATACAAATTAACAGTACAGTATACAGTATATACTGAATACAAATAAATCAGTCAAACCAAATAAAGAGCTCAGCATCCGTAAACAAGTATACTGTGCTCCTCTTAGTTCACGGTACTTAACACTTTAAAAACAGTAAAGAACACAAACAATAAATTTACACTACAAAAACTGTCATAAACTATGGAATGCCGGTAGGGACATGCCAATTTGCTTATTTGCCACTTGCTGAATTGCTTATTTGCTAATTGCCGATTTGCTTATTTGCCAATGGCTGATAGGCTTAATGACAAATTTGCTTATTTGCCAATTGCTGAATTGCTAATTTGCTTATTTGTTAACCGCTGGTTTACGTATTTGCTTATTTGCCAATTGCTAATTTGCTTTTTTGCAATAGAAATAGTTTACACTGTGCCGGAAGTATATGAAAAACAACCAGTTGAGTCATATCTGTTCATTTTTACCAACAGTATTCTTGTAAATTCAGTGTTTTTCCAAGAATACTGTTGGTCAATGAATTTAATTGCTGTGATACCTACGCAGATATATGTCTACAACTGATGGCTGACATGTCCTTGAGAACTATAGACGCTTGGGGTCAGATCCCGAACCCCAACGTGATACGTGACCCTGTAAAAACTCTATTAAAAATATTTTAATATTTAAACAAGAATTGGACATCGATAAAACTGGTTTTAAAACAATTTTCAATATACCAGTATGAAAAAATACCATATACCACCAAGTCTCAATAAAGTACTTAATGGTTTTATCGTTGTAACGGATGTCAAATTCGTATTAAAATAAATAATAGAATAGTTTTGATATAGTCTTTACAGAGGCGTATCACGTTGGGGACAGGATCTGACCCCCAGCGTCTGTGCTTGAGAATGCCTTATAATGTGTTGCAGCTATAGATCTGTTTGTGCAGCCTAAGTCAGAGATTGATGGCATAATAAACACTTGATATAGTCATATATAAGTGAAAATTATTGGGTAAAGATTGAAAATAAAAGAACTTGAAAACAAAACTATTTCTTATTTTATGGCATATAAAATGTCGTTATTCTCAGCAGATTTGTCATGTAGGGCCTCATTTTAGTGGTACGAACACATAGTATGACGAATGATCCAATTGGTGCATGCCAAATATGGGTGTTTATCTTTTGCATTTAAGCAATAGGCTTCGTTTTTAGCTCTGTAAAATTTGGTCACACTTTTCCGTTTCTTCATGTTAAACATTTTACATGCCATCAGGTGACCATGACCATGATCATGACCTAGGGTATAATGGACAAAGCCTCTTTGAATATTGTGTATGCGTGATGCCTATTTAATGCTTATGTGAAGTTACAGTTAGATGTAAGCAATAGTAACAGAGATATGGCAAAAAAACAAAGGCTTTGTAGTACAATACTTTGGTGACCTTGGCATTCAGTATATAAGGGGCACAGCTTCTTCATGTACTTTGTATGCATGCTTGTAACGCAAAGTGTATGCAAAGTTGCAGTAAGATGCATGAATCAGCAAATGTAACAGAGATATGACAGAAAAAACAAGTTACAAAGAAAACCAATGCCTTGGTGGATAGAATAGCATCCCTAGTGCTAAAACTGAAACTCAAGATAATTAAAAAGAACAACTACTTTTTGATACTGAATTTATTTCTTTTTTCGAAATTGAATAAAAAGTATCCATCTGCCTTTCTACCTATATTCTAGGTAATGATGGATTGCTCATAATTGTCCCAAGTATAATGCACAAAACTTTATAAACATAATAACATGATATAGGTTCATGAGCTTGAAATAAAGTCAACAAAGACTTGTTATTTCATATCAAACAAGAACGTACTCCGCGAGTCGGACGTATCGCCTGACAATAGCATACAAATTTATGTATATAAGCAAATAAGCAATTAGCAAATAAGCAAATTGGCAAATCAGCAATTAGCAAATAAGCAAATTGGCAAATCAGCAATTAGCAAATAAGCAATTCAGAAGTTGGCAAATAAGCAAAGTGGCATGTCCCTACCGGCATTCCATAATAAACTGTATCATTTAGTCATTTTTCTGCTATATGGCACAAGGAAACAACAATATATTCAATCAAAATTAGTTTTAATTTGTCAGATGTAAACCGTGTGTCGGCCATTTTGAAAACAGTATGTCATCATTTACCTCGCGGTAATGGTGTTTTATTTTAGTTTTTTCATGTTACAGTTAAAATTTCTTTAAGTTATTTTGCATAATTATAAAAATTAAAAGTATTTTTACATTGTAACTCAAAATTTATTTTTTCAACAAACAGGAACATTTAGAAAATGATGATTGTTTCAGACGTATGCACAAATTTAATGGACTATTGTTGTTTTTTGCAGAAGTTTGTAAAATGTTGTTCAGTTTTATGTAAAAATCTATAGATTTAAATTATTTTGCACAAAAGCTTTGTTGTTAAGGTGTTTGAATAAAATATGTAAATTCTGACCAATTATAACAATGGTCACATGAAAATATGCCATTACCGTGAGATAAATGATGACGCGGAATTACTGATGTTGAGTATAGGTCTAGAGCAAATGTCTCAGCCTGTCACGTATAAAAATGAATTAAAAATATTAAAAATAAAAAGGATTGAAGGATTTACACAAATGACTATAATTTGTATTGATGTTTTTGTATGCTTCGTTCTTATTATAAAAATTGCTTTGTTTGTTGCTTTTTCATTGTCGCGAAAACATATGATATTTTGATTGTCAATTTTTGTTATCATGAGAAATACTTTGGCCAGAAGACACTAAATTTTAGGTATAAGCATTCTAAAATATAGTAATTATTGTAAGCAGGATTTTGATATAATTTGCTACCCATTATATAGCTTTCATTTGTTGATACACATACAGATTTTAATCATGACAATAAGAACCAGTCATTTTCAGTATATATTAAGTATATATCACCTGCGGTTGCTAAGAGGTTAAATTTTTCATTTTATCAATTCAGTCAGGTAAAAGTTGGAAATAAAAACGAGAGCTTTAACGGGCTGTCACAGCTTGACTTAATTTTCACAGTGGAAAGTAAACAAAGAGAAATAAAGGGAATAAAAGCTCTCTTCCGTTTAGTTCAAAAGAAGGAAAAATTAAGTAGAATTTCATGCTAGATTTATAAAAGTTTTGGCTTAAAGTGTATCAGTGAATGGCATATAATTAAGACATTGAAGACCTGTATAAAGTTTGAAGCAAATACAAGTACTACTGCAGCTAGTTGTTGTGGAGATAGAACTTTAATGCAAAACCTTTTATGTGCCCAGAGGGATATGTTTCCATAACTAGAGTTATGATGAAACTATAGGTGACTTACCATTATGTGAAGTTTCAGGTTTTTGAGAAATGCAGTTTCATGCAAATGCATAACAAAGTGCTGTTCCAACTTCGGCTCCAGGGTAATATTTCTCCTATTTTTTGAATAGCCGAGCTTAAAATCAGCCTTAAAGTTGAATTCAGCCTTGCAAGTTTTGAACAGAACAAGATTTGGGAGTCTGAATATCTTGAATTCAGACAAGGTCCTAAAAAACATTCCCAAAATTCCTTTTGGCTGCTTTGGCAATTTTCTGCTTTTTTAAAACACATGTTAAATGCTTCTTAAGTTTTCAATAACTGTAAAAAAAATTATATATATATTGACTGTCCAGACAAATATTTTGCACATACATGTACAAACATCTTTGTGAGGATACCATACCTGAAACAAGCGCAACACTGTCACAAAATATGCCTGTCACAAAAGCTTAAGTGGAGATGTGCCAGCGAAGATGTGTGGCAAGGAAGTTGGTCCCTATACATATTTTCATAATTTTTGCATCAGTTGCAGGGACCTGATTTCTATGCACAACACTCAGCCTCTCATAGATAAAAATCAGCCTCTCAATGATGAAAATTTGTGCCAAGTTATACAAAAATCTCTCGATGCAGTGCAACCACTCGCCAGGGGTGTTCCAATATATCCAGTTTTTCAAAACGGCTGAAATACTATGTGAAAATACTGCTTTATAAACCTAAGGCTGAAGATTATATCAAACCACTGGCTAGCATGTGTTTTGGAAGTGTCGTTTTAAAACATAAATTGAACAACACAAAAGATAATTTTATATTTTACTTAAATATAATTATGTTCCTATATTTTATCTGATATCTAACTGAAACAAAAAGAGAATAAAACATGATTTTTATATATAAAAAAGAATATCAGGCACTGTAACAAATCTAATATCTAATTTTACTTCAACAAGCTGCTAAACTTATTAAAAGTTTCAAGTATGATACTCAGTTATATTATCACAAAAGCTATTGGCTTAGTTATTACCATGCCATATTTTATGCCGAAGCAATAAGATAATGTATCTACTGTATTAACATTGTAATATGCAAACTGTTGAACAGTGATGACATTTCCGATGGCATATGTATTAAAATTCTATACTTAAAATGTCAGCCTTGAATGTATTGAATAAAATAATCCATAGCTTAGTCTATCATTGTCAAGGCAGTAATGTTAACAATCTCAGAATGAAAATCAAAGACAAAGGATTGTAAAATTATATATCTGCCTTAAAGCAAATGAGCTCTGTTTAAATCTTCTATATCTACAAAGAATTGAAAATAAAAAATATGTATCTTTAAATACTGAAACTGATCCTTTGGTATGAAAATGTTATAACGGTTTGCATAAATAAATCAGATTTAGCTCTTATGATTTAATTTTCAGGTTTCCTGGCTTTAAAGCAACTTTTATGTGTATTTTTGAGGACTTTTTTGGCTGGTTTGTTTATCAGTTTATACAGAAAAATTCTACCTCATTCTGTAGATATCTGATGAAATATTAACTGGACTGAGGATGCTAGATATTGTACTGTGTTTTAACTAAATAACATAACATAAAAGATTCACTGAAGAATAGCTATTGACAATCAATTCCAAAGTAACTTAGATACGTTTCAGTTACTCACATCAAAGGTGCTGACCAAAATACTTGAAGTGTTTGTGTGTGCTGGTAACAATTTGTAAAACATGATATCAAACATAATAATGAATAAACAAAATGATAAATTTACAAAATAGAAGCGTAGTTTAAGGCATAAATGTTACGTGCTAAAATTAAACTCTTGTGGTTAAAACAAAAATAAGTCTAAAAAAACCCAGATCATATACCTATACAACTATCAATTAAAGTATATCCTCGGGCCCATGGTGAACAGATGTCTATAAGTACATGTATACATTTCAAGACCTTATTAACAGATCATAATTGTACATTCACCTATGTATATAGTTTTATAAACACATTTTTCGTTAAAAAACCTTCTAAAAATTACTAAGAACAAATGAGTACCTTTTCTACAAATTTAAAAAAAAAAATCTGAGAAAAAAATCATGTTATTTTCACTCCTTCAATTGACAGGTACTTTTAAATTTTGAAATGTTGCCTTTCATTGGATAACCGTGAGATTTATCTAGTGTCTGTCACTTTATAAAGTAATAAAGCAGTTTGCTGTATTTTAAATGTGTTGCAAAGGTTCTTGTCAGGTTATTTGGCTGTATATAAATGATTTTTTGCAATATAGACCTTGTCTAGTGGCTTGGGTTATATATGCAAACACCATTTATATGGGCCATATAACCTGTCAAAAACCTTTACAACTACATGTAATAATATCACAACATGTGTTCAATCTTGGTGAAACTGAGGTAAATTGAGCTTATTGCTGTTATTCACCTGATAATGGCAATAAATCATACATAGACATTTGGAATGTGTTATACCTTCACTCTCATACAAGTAGCACATTTACTCTCCTATGTACAATTATGCAATATAGTTATATACATATAAGTATCTCTTTCAACGAGAAATAAATAATCTAATAACTATGATACCAATCTCTATAAATCCTTTTCTTATCTAAGATGTCTCAGGAATTAAGTGTAAGAACATTATCAATAAGATATTTTGTACTTTACAATGCTATATATGTAATCACTATCAATATATTCACAATGAGTAGCCAATGACTGAAAGTTGTCTAGTTGAATCAATCCATCAAGATAGGAGTGGCTGATGGTTGAATATGTTTGTATACAAATAGGTTGAATCCTTATAAGTATCTGGCTGCATACTTCAGGTTAAATTGCTACTTATTCCAGGTGACGGCTTTAGTAATTCATCAGTAGTTTATTTCTTGTACAGTATTTCTATTTCACAAACACTTTTGGTCGAGAGAATATTTTAATTGCCTCCTCCATTTCTGCAAGTTTATTTTCAAGTTCTTGTTTACACGACCTCATTCTGAATGTATCTGTTCTCAGGGGTAATGACTGAAGTTTGCTGATTAATTCTTGTTGTTCTGAAAAATAAATCATATGATAATTTTCATTTAGAAAATAGACTATTAATTTCTAGCGTAAAAATATGTTCGAGAAGTAACTTACATGACATCATTTTGCTTTTGACATCATATCTGTTATAGGATGTAAACATTCCTTTCCTAATTCTCTGCTTTAATATATTATAATGTACCCCAGCAATCAGTCTGTTAAATAAGAAAATAGTGTGAAGCATCTTAGAATAAATGATGGTGCATGACAAATTATGTACACTGTAAAGCAATCATTTCTATCTTGTCCTGACTGATTACCTTATGACATTGTAAGCTGTTACCTCAATGGTTATAAGCAACTGTTTATGTAAACCAGTAAGTGCTTTCTTTATGAAAAATGTCTTCTTTTCATCATAAGAAAAATGAAGGAAAGAACATACTATAATTAAAACTTACTGTTTTTGAGTAGATCTAGTGTTTCCCTTCTCTCAGCCTCTGGTAATACTCTATGGCCTTCAGGACATGAAGGATCTGGTGTATTGGCTATTCTGTCTTCCTCCTCCTTCTTCCACTGATCTTTTCGGGCTCTCAAACTATACAAGTAAAAAAAAACCTGAATCTATGAAACCTACAAGACAGCATGCTTGACTATTCTAAAAGCTTGATGGTAAAACAAGAACTATGCAGGAAATTGTAAGTTCAAAGAAGGGTAAAATGCAGTAATATTTCTTGCTAGTTGTGAATATATAGTGATATAAAACCTTAACTGTAAGTTTTCTAAACACCTTAAAGTGGTTAATGAGAAATGTAACCTTAACCAAGTGACAGGAAGGAACTTTCTACAAATAGTTGAGCTAAAAACAAGTCCACTTATTGTATTTTTAATGTACAATTTAAGCATTTAAATAATCAAAATTTGAAGTAGGATGAAAATTTTGATGTTATCAAACCTATCATCAAATACTCACTATGTGGGTACTTCTCCTTTTTTATGTTTCTTAAATTCATCTTCTTGCTTTTTCTTCAAGTCATCAAGAGCAGTAAGACTGGGTGCTCGAGGAACATGAGGATGTTTTACAGCACGGCCATTCAATTTTATAAAATCAAAGTCATGTCTCACAAGTTGTACCTGCATAAAAGAATAAAACAAGTTAGAAATGTATAGAAATAAAACTTTTCCATTTCATTTTATCCTCATTACAAACTTAGTGACCAACTTTATTTGTCATCCAATGGAAACGCTGTATTTCTTCAAAATAATGAGTGTTAATTTTCATAGAAGAACAAAAGTCAATACTATATCAAATTCTGTTCATAGTCGCCTTCTATTTTTCATAGTGCTTCATAGAACCGCGTTTGTAAAAATAGTCATTTGCATAAATTTACACATGCGCTGCGCTTTCAGGGGCCGTTTTTGAATATTAATTAAGTCAAAATGACGTCAAAAAGTCAACCTTCATTAACTTTGCATTTATTGATAAAGGATATACGTGCAGTTCAGATTTAAAACGACGTCTTGGCGAAAAAGATACTAGTAAAAACCAATACAAAATGTCAATTAATATTTTTATTACGAATGTAGTGAAAGGTCTTAATTAATTTGTAACTTAGAGGAAAGTCACGTGTGTCTATTCACTTTTTTCGGGAGACACAAAGTGAAAGTAGACATTATGTTTTTTGAAAATATTTTACGTGACCTCGTGTTAACACGTGATATTCAGTGTATACATGTATAAATCATATAAGATATTAGCTACTGAATATCAGTTGTCCAACTAATCAAAGTGTATAAATGATATCAGGTAACAATTATCCAACTCATCAAAAATGTTTTCCGAAAATAAATGTTTCAATATCGGGCATTATCCATATGCCGCCCTTCATTTTACAAGGGGTACATGTGTCTTCGCACGCAAAGTGACATAAATCATGCATATTTATAAGGTCAAATTTAAACCCACCATTCAGCTAATTAATTAATAAAGCAGACTGGTAGTGACGTAATAAAATGAATATTAATGAGGCCAAATAAAGTTCGACACTAAATATGTTAGTATTCATCCGTAGCTGTTCTACAGAAATTAGAAACATTCTCCGGTGGCTATCGCTCCCGTCTCTGTAGAACAGCACGGATGAACACTAACATATACAAATTATTATGATATACAGCGTGATCACTTGACATTAGCTTACTGTAACATTAGGTCACTGCTATTTTTGCTACTTTTTTCTTTTTATTTTTAAATATTTGAATAATAAACATATCCCATGTTTAGCATTTTAGCCAGTAACAGAGACTTCACTGACCTAGTCATTAAGAAGGAAAGTTCATGCAAAATTTTGAGTATTTCTGATCAGTTGCTTAAGTCCAGATGTGTATGTAAATTATCATGTAATTCAGAGCTCAGAAAAATTGTTCAGCGAGAGACAGACTAACATCTAATTCACGCAGCAGAAAGCACTAATGAGCCGCGTCATGACACAACCAACATAGTGCGTTTGTGACCAGCATGGATCCAGACCAGCCTGCGAATCCGCGCAGTCTGATCAGGATCCATGCTGTTTGCTATCAGTTTCTCTACTTGTTATAGGGTTTGTAAGCAAACAGCATGGATCCTGATCAGACTGCGCGGATGTGCAGGCTGGTCTGGATCCATGCTGGTCGCAAACGCACTCTGTTGGTTTTGTCATGAGGCGGCACTAATCTAACTAAGGACTTACATCATTTGCTATACTAGCGGGAGGTACTGAAAGTTTAGGATCAGGTGTACAAGGCCTTGATTGTAGTTTTACTGAGGGACCAGATCTTGTGTGTGCTCGGAGAAATACAGCAGAATGTGGCCGTGGTGTATCGGGTACTTTCTGAAAGCAACAGATTATAATGTGCAATTGTTAGTAAATAAATGCAGTGATATGGTTATCCGTGGAAAAATATTGTAATATTATTGAAGAAAAACTCTTAGAAAAACTGTGTACATTTTCATTCTATTTATCTCATTATATTATTCTAGCTTAAACAACTTTATCCAGTGCATAGAAGTTATTCTAAAATACTTATTGATATAGAAACCACAAATTTGTTGAAACATGTAAACATTCAAAAAATAAACACCAGAAATATACTTTATAATATCCTATGTGTTTTTTAAGCAAAACTTCACTACAGCCAAAGAGGTATCACAGGAAATGTGAAAATTGTGGTTGAAATACCTTATTTTATTTGTTCATGTAATTCATAAATTGTATGATTTTGTGTTTTCATCTGATCAATCAATCAATCAATCAATCAATCAATCAACTCTTAAAACTACATGTATATAATAACATGATGGGGTGTCTAACATGAAAAAAAATCAATATAATTGTAAAGAAGCAAAAAGCATGTGCACAGCTATATTGTGTTTAAACATGGTTAAGGAAATAAATCACACTAGTTTTACAACTAAGTCATACCTGTATATCATCTTTTATCTTTGAAGAAATATCTTTGTATTTCTCAGATTTCCACAAAGCCTTAACAGGTTGAACACTTTCTGCTTCTTTTTCTTTAGACATCCTCTGAATCTGCCTCATCCTTCGCACATTTTCTCTAAAATGATCTTTCCCTAGCCCTGCAATAAAAGTTTATATTTAAATAATACTATATAATAATAACAGGATGTCGAAATGAAATCATGTACACATTATACTGACATTCAAGATAACACACTGAAAAACTTGAAATAAGTAAAAAAGAGTCAAATATTACTGAATGATGCATAGTTAACAAAACACTGGAAGTACAATATTCAAGATACAGTGACCACATGGCTTAATATTGTCAGTATAAAAAAAACTGTTGTCGTTTGTTACTTACTAATTTATTTACTTGATATTGTCTATCAAAATATGCAAAACATATAATTTGTACTGATTTGAATAAATAACTAATAATTAAACCTGTTCCATACTGCCGTGGCATGCCATAACCCTGCCCATTTACTTGTATTGCTAATCCATGCATTTTGTCTGAAATGAAATAATACATGATAATTTTAAAAGATGATCCTGACACAACTAAAGACATATGTATGCCACAATTTTGGCTAAGATACCCCGCATGCACAGCTACATGTTAGCTTGGTTATTTCCTGTCCTATCAGATCAATATTTGTTTCAATATCTTGAATAATTTTTTACTTTCTAATAAAAATAATGTTTGCTTGATTGCAAGTGTGTTTGATAAATTTATTACATCAGCATTCAATATTATGGTAATATAGTATTATGTCATAAAAAAATTGACTGTAGGGTTAGCAAATTTACACTAATCACACATTTTTATTAGATAAAATATTTCAATCCAGAGTCGGCTAAAACTGTTGTGTTTTTCAGATCACTTGCGTCCTTGCAGGAGTATATAAACCAGACAATTTAAAGTCACAAATTGATGGGATGTCACGAATCTGTGAGAATATGGCATAATTTAATTTAATCATTCATATTTCCTTCGCCTTGGTATGGTCATTTCCTACATACATGTGTAGGTCTATGTGCCATATCCACTGTAATCAGGTGAGGCAAATCTTAGTTTTGAGTCAAGTTCAAAGTTGAATCACTGACATTGTCATACATGTCATAATGTCCCGGACGTCCTGGATTGTCACACAAAAACAGCTGACCTCCCCGGAAAGATTTTTTTGGGGTAAAAATAAAATTTGGAACTTATTTGCAGCAAGAAAAAACAGTTCCAATATTATAAAAAATGTATGCAATTATATTTGCATGTTAATTTTCCTAAGATGTTGATATCAGATAGATTTTCCCAGACATTGTAGTAATACACAAGAACTGTTGACACTTAAAATCAACTGATTGATAAAGATGTGTGACCCTCTCCATCAAACCCTGCTGCTAACTGGGCGAATGTGTCAACGACTGTCTTTATATATGACTCCACCTACCAGGGCTTGACACTAACTTTTTTTAGGGGTAGTCAGAAGGACTACCTACTTTGAGGATCAGGTAGTCCTTGGCAAATCTAGGTAGTCCTCATTGTAAAACATAAAAAAAAAATGTTTCTTATTCTATTTAAATGCATTTTGAGTGTATGTATCTGAAGATAAGAAGACAATAGCACGAGATCTCTTCAAATTTATTGGAAAAAATCACCAATAGATAAATCATATAAGATCTAGTAAAAGTTTGTTAGCTTTATTCTGTGTAAGATGTAGGTTCCGGCTACCCTCTGAGCTCTTCAAAGTCATCATCAACAATTTTTTTACATATTTTTGCTATAAAATATGGCAGTGTGACACACCAAAGTCATTAGGTTTTGAAAGGCCAGGCATTACCTACAGGTACAGGGTTCTAGCCAGGAATTACTAGTGTTGCAAATAAAATTGCTAGGCAATCAGCTCAGCTTATATTATTGACAGCTTATAGGGAAGGGGAGAATATATTGGCAATATGAGCTAAATAAGTATCTATCAGTTTTAAATTTATGTAATACCTGGCTTTTGTATTAAAAAATATTTCAATAGAGCTTACAAATCTACTTTCAGGTATAGATAATGTATGACCTTTTATATGTGTTTTTAAATTCAAAACAGAAGTAAAAAGCTTGGACAAGAACAAAAGATGTTTGTCTTTACTCTAATTGATTTATTCTACAAACTTATTTTGTCAGACATAAACCAACAAAATATCAGAATAACAAACTTTTACTAGAGCTAGTAATTCAGTTATTTAACTGGCAGGAGATTTAAATAGGGACATTAGATTAATATCTGTTGTCCCTGATTTAAACACGAAATTAGAAATGTAAAGCCATTTTTAATCAAACTATATTGCCTTAGTTTTTTATGCCTAGGGTATTAGTATTTGTTAACAATTTTTTTCTTCATATACATGTATTGGCATTATTGTTTATATTTGCTTGTACATGATTAAGAAGTGCTTACAACATTGTGAAGTTATGGCAAAGACAATTACAAATACTTTAGAATATTTCTTTTCTCTTTTTTAAAGAGATTAAAACATTTTTCTTCTCTTTTTTTATAAAGAGATTTTTTCCCAATCAATAATTTCATGTCCAAATAAATTACATCCGAAATTAGATCTATTTCAGACAACACGTTTATTTTGGTTATCATTGTCAGTGTGAATTACATCAATCAACAAATCATATTCTTTTAAGTTTAAACCCTTGAATAGGTTCCAATATGAGCAAATATTTTCATTGAAATGTTTAATAGACAAAGAATTCTATTGAAGTAGGCTGGAAAAATCGGCAATTAAGTTGGACTTCCGGTTTCACTTTTAGCAAGTTTATAGAGATTAAATAGAATCTATTATGCGTCTGCTGTGACTGACACTGATTGACAGGTATATTGAGAAAGTATGCGACATGCTTGGATGGATAAAATTGGTTTGTTTATTTAATAATGATATTGATTTATTAAGGGATGTCGAGAGATTAACGGATGACGCAATTATACCTCAGTGCCTGAAGGCATGTAGAGCGCTTAACGTTTACAATTATTAGTGACCCAACGGCTAATTATTTACTAGTAAGATGAATTTATCTTTCGTTTTGAATCATAGCCTAAAAAAATGTTATTTTATTAATTATTTTTAGTGAATTTAGAGACATCAGGTCACTGAAATTTTGAGTAGCCCGACGGGATACCCAGCTTGGAAACTCGGGTAGTCCTTGGGGAAAATTGGTAGCCTCGGGCTAACGGACCATCGTTAGTGTCGAGCCCTGCCTACATTTACCTAGCAGTTTGTAACGTTAGCATGTCGGCAAAGGCTTTTGAAGTCTTCATAAGATAGCCCTGTAATGATGATTGACACTTCTAGGCAACCAAATGATCTCAAGCACCTGTCAATCACTTGTCTATAGAATCAGTTCATTTAGAAGGGTGGTGTGAAATTAAATCTTGTCAACAAATTCTGATTTTAGGTCATGAGTTGCAAATTTGTTTTATACATTTGTAAGGAAATAATTGTACGAAAAATATTAAATTATTTTAAAGTTCGTTAAAATTAATGTTTGCATACTTTCAATTATTTTTGAAGTGTCGCGATTGTGTGTATTATTTTAACATACCAGTCTCACTTTCAGACAATTACTTAGTAATGTTTTAATTCATTAGAAAATAGAAAGGTACATTTCATTCTCATTTTCTGTGATATAAAACGCAGTGACTTTTTGGAGATACGTCACGGTGATTCAACAGTGAATGTCCCTGCTGTGAAGCTTCCCCAGTGATGGTTCTGGCTTCCAAAACTTTATAAGCTGCTTTTTTAACATTTTTCCTTTGTCAGATGTGGCATTGTCACAGTATAAAAACAGGTACGCTGAATACTTTACGCTACCACATTGATAAAGCATAGCGCATACTTTACTGTATCATACATATTTGATTAAATGCTGCTTTGCTTATTTTAGATACATTTTTAAGTGTGAGGAAATCATTCTGGAAATAATGAAATGCATGACATTGTTTACAATATTTTCCCGTCTGTCGATTATTATTCTTCAGATTGCTATTACAAGATCTGTTATTATTTCAACAAAACCACAGGTTACATGAGATTGAAAGGTCTGATTTTTTTAAACAATAATTAAGTAAATATGAACTATATATAGTCGTAGAAATATAGCTCTGTGATACAGTTACAAGATTCATCACGTTTGTTTTTTTCTGTAAGTGTAGAATTGACTTAATTTTCGTAAATTCATGAATACTCCATTTGTAACTTTTAATCATGTCATAATTTATTAAATGTTGAAGTTAATACAACTTACTAAAGGAAAATAAATGACTATTTGTTACCAGTTGTACTCTGTTTCCTATTTATTTCAAACTCGAACCTTTTTGAACTACTTGGAAGCCATATTGTTTTTAAAAGTCACGTGACGGAAACGCAAATAATTAGAAATATTAAAATTCAATATTATATACTTTTTATGTAAAAAAATACTTACTTTTTATCTATTTAACGGACAATAGTAACTTTACAGATTTTTTGTATCGTAATTAAGTATTTTTTAACTCTCGTATTTTCGGCTATTTGCGTGAAATAAACAATCCCTTAGCAACATTGACTTCCGGTTAAAGATAAATAGAAAAAAATGTGAATTTTTGGATTTATAGTTAGTTTGCTGGATGTATGTCATATCATTTCCATTATAATTACATCTAATAAATGTTTATATATTTTACCTGAGGTATGAAATAAGGTCAAGTCCAACAGAAGCTGATAAACATATTCTATTTTAAAAATACAGTGAAAATATGATCGACATAGTCAATGATAGTCATAATAGTGCATCACTTAATACTTATACATGACTAATCTGTCGATGAAACAAATAATTTTCAGTCATGTCAGTTTCCTGGTATTGGGTCATTTGCAAAACAAACTTCTGTTAGAGAAGAAATTGAAGATTTCAATAAGTTTTTAATCCCTATTTAATAATATCTGCAGCAAGATGGATAGGCCCAAATTCAAAGTCCTGCAAAATATTTTTAGCTACAGTTTCAAAATCAAAACTCAAGAAAATGTGGTTTTTTTTGCACAGCAGACTGGGTTTTCCGACTTTCCGTGAGTTTTACCCATGGAAATTTCATCTGGCATGGGGGGTGACAGATGAGATGTGTGCCAAACAACGACGTCATTTTAGCGCACTTTATGAATGAACCGCGTTAAAGTGACATTTTTAGAAGGGAAATATGTGCTTAGGATGACGTCATTTCGCTGTTGTTTTTTAAGCTTTAAGTTCATACTCTATTGTAAGAAAATAGTTATGGATGAAATGACTTTAATTTCCATGAACATATATGATATTGAGGTAAACCATTTTAAATATGAAATAAAATATGGCAGAATATGCAAGAAAAAATATCTGACATATGTTTGCGGTTCGAATCAGAATATCCCTCCCTCGGGACCCCGCCCATGGGCGGTAACTTGGCAAGCCTTGTTACCCACAATGGGCGGGTCCCCTCAGGACGGATATTCCAGTCTGAACTGCAACATATGACAGATATTATTAAACCCAAAACAAGTATCTCTCATTGAATGGGCAACATTTTTTTAAAATTCTGACTTAGGCATTTGAAAAGGTCTATTATAACTGGCGGCGTGGCTGAATGGTTAAAGCAACAGACTAGTAATCTAAGGATTGCTGACTGCGTGGGTTCAAACCCTGTCGGGGGCAAGCCGTTGTTTCCTTTAGCCAGACACTTTACATTCATCGCTTAGTACTGGTTGACTCCAGGAACAGATTTGAGAGTATTTCAATAAGCTAATAGCTTCCAACACAATCAAACTAAAATAAATTTGTATAAACTAAACTAAGAGTTTGTAAGTAAACAAGTAGATCCGCTCACATTATGGATCAATGTGTCATCTAGTTCATAAATAACGATTTCTCTGGTACATAAACCTTAAATTTTTGAAAAATGTTACCCAACCATGCAACAGGTGTCTGATTCAAGACTTTTTGCTATAGTACTTTTTCCATAAGGCTGTACTTGTCTGTAAAACAAATATATTTGTAAGTCTTGAAAAATTACCAAAATATTGTATTTCTATCCCTTTAGGATTGGTAACATACATGTAATTTAATCTCTTTATTGTTTTGTTTTAAATATATGTACTAATTTATTACCAAATACTCTTAACTCTGACGTCCAGGTTACATGAAATTTGCAACATTGAATTACATGTATTTGAAAATTATTGCCTGAATGTCTCTTCTATGACAGAATTCTTGGGATTTTTTTCACTATTTAACTTCCGTTAATGTCAAACCCCTCGCGGGGACGTAGACTTGTCTGCGCGTCAAAAAAACGCCAGAAAGTTAAAAAAGAGATTTTGATTCACTATTCTTCATTTAATTATATGAGAAGCAGAATATGTTGTTATAAATCAAATCAGAATCAAATAAAAATTTATTTATTGTCGGTATATATATAAATTTTAATATTTGTGCATTTCAATTAAGATAAATCATGATTTTATTTCAAACAGGTTCATAAGTTTTATTTTTGTGTTTTAGCCGTGAGTGAAAAATGTCAAAAGCAGCAGTTTCCAAGTCAAGGGCTGACAAAGCAGGGAAACTTCCAACTGCACAAACACCTGTTGTCTCGCATGAAATTGTACCTGGAAAATTTAATGATCATGACTGGTAAGAAACAGTATTATTAAAAGTAAATTGAAAAAAGGAGTATAATTTAACGACATATTGCATTTTTATAAATTCTTACATGCACTCTGCTATTTGTTGCTTTCAAATTCACATATTTATATATATTTATCTTGAAACTGTTCTGGGATTATAATTATGAAATGCAAGAAACAGATGGCAAATTAAATTTAGCTATAATTCTAATGAAATTCTATAATCCTACAGAGCTCTGTAACAATACATGTATAACAGAGGCCTACAATTGAAATATTCTTTAAAATTGTGCTGATTTCCCAAAAATCCTAACACCAGGTTTTTACTTGACCAAAGTAGCAAATTTTAAAGATTCATTTTCCAAAATCAAGAGGCTAAGGCCTCTTCTCATTAAAGAAAGAAAAAAAACACTGTTTTATCAATAATATTTATAGAGTTATTAATTGCTAGTTGCATTTGTTTTATCAGTATCAGTACCTTCATTTGGTAAGACTGAAATATTGTATGATATGGATCAAAATACATATACATGTATAATTATGTATTAAATGTATCAGTATCACATATGTTATACATTTTGTTTGTGTACTAGTTATTCACTTGAGATATCAATGTTTTTTGGTGTTCTTTTTTTTGTATTGTGAAGCATTATATGGGAAATTCTTTGTTTATGTAAACTGTCTTTATCAACAGGAAATAATTTTGGTGCAGTCCTTCAATTTCTTGGTCACATATTTGTGACGAAATATCATTTGTTGTTTGTATAAACTTTCCAAGAATAAATCCAAAGTTTATTTCAGTTAGGGTAACATATGTATTACCATCATCAGGTACTATATATAATCATTCATCATTTACTTATATAAAATTGGCGCATTTCAGAACACAAATCTTGTCAACTCATTGCTAAATTACAAACAGTAACCTAAAATTCAGAAAGTGAAGACATTGGTTATGCACTGTTGATAGAAAGATAATCTTAAATTTAAATTTCATATACTAACTAGTGTACTTATTTATTTTACAGGAATTTGATGTTAGATCGAGATGGTTCAGATGATTTTGTAGAAGATATTGTTGGTGATTTATTAGGCACAACTTTAGATAACTGTCTAGATTTATTTATTCAGCGACAACTGGTACCATTTACTGTGTCAGAAGCCACTGATGCACTATTGAGTATTATTGAGGTAATATCAAGTTATAATTCATATTATAAAAATTTACTTTGTTGGGTCACACTTCCGTGGTCAGATGGTGACTTTCCAGCTTTTCTTTTCACATGTTTCAAGGAACAAGTGTGTTATTTCAAGAACAAGTGGGCACCTGAATTGAACCACAGACTTAAGCTAGCTGGAAAGTTTCCTCATAATATATATAATAGAATTTAAGTCCTTGTTTGGATTTGCACCCATATTGGTGAGGTGCAAGTCTTGGTCATTCTTATTAAACAATTACTCATTGTACTTTCAAGCATATCCATGTGCATACATATTAGGGGTGTAACAATACAGCAAAAACCGTATTGCAATATATTGCCATTTTGCTGAAGCGTATTGCAATATATTGCAATACGTATTGTCGTGTATATGTTTTGATGTAAAGATGGAGTAACATTCATATACTTTTATTATATGTATATATTTTTAGTAGAAACTTAATAAAAATGTAAGGAATAAATAGAAAGTAAAGTGTCACACAATTTGATAAACAAAACTAGTCGCGTGTGACCTTTCACATCTGGGCCGCTAATGTAAATTAAGAGGCCGCTTATTATTTTTAAGTGTACTAGTTGTCGGATACTTTTATCTTACGTTGGCGCCAACAAAATTCGCCAGTTAAAGATTTTATGTGAAATTTGTACAAAATTAGAAGGCAATTAATTGAAAATTATGATTTTTATAAAATACCGGTTTTCCAAACATCGTACCGTGGTACGAAATTTATTTATTCATATTGCAATATATCGGTATACCGGTAAATCGTTACACCCTTAATACATATACACACTGCCAATATTTAGCAAATAAAAACTAGGATAAGACCTATATAAGCACCAGCTTTCGGTTTTGATCTTTTTTCATTCATTTCATGTGTTGTAAAGTTCTTAATTTGTAAATTGTAAATGTGTATACTTGTTTGAACTAAGTCTTGGTCACAGACACCACCAAAACTTAATCAACATTGTACCACTTTTCATTTAATAATAATATACAAACATGGTTTATTTCAATGACAATATGTGAGTTTTATGTTGTTTTTAAATTATCACTTTCATCTTAAGTGAAAATATGGAACAATTAAATTTGCTGTGATTTTTGGTTTCTTTTTGTATGAAATTCAAAAGCTAGTTTGAAAAATATCACTAAATTAAGAAGTCATGGTATTACAATTTTTAACATTTTTCAATTCCAGTGGAGATTTTTGACAAGAGATGAAAGTGAGAAGGATCCTTCCTCAGATCCAGGCTGGATACAGGATGAAGGTATGTCAAAAATGTATTCTCTTAATGTATAGCATATAACATAAAAAATATGCCCAGAAAATGGCAGACAAGGTGTGATGATTTTAACACAATAAGTGTTTTGTTAGTGAAGTTCATATGACTGAGGTTTATTTTTATTTTACAAGCTAAAGTAGGTTTGTAGGTTTTAAAGACTCTAATAAGTACTTTAAATATGATTCAAATTAAATGATACTTCCCATGCCACATGATTTCTGGCATTATAAATGAAAAGGAATCCAAATCTGTTATAAATGGTTATAATATGAAATCTATAGGATTGAGACCATTGATTACATTATGTTTTCTGTAGAACCTGATCCAGCCGAGACAGATTGCTGGGCTCAAGGTTCTGTACCAAGGACCTATCTTCCAAGCCCAGTACCAGAACCAATCATTGAGGAAGAAGATGGAAACCAAGAAGAAGTTGGATTGGAACAACAAGCTGAAGAAAAGTAAGATATACTACATGTTTATAATTCTGTCATAATGTCTGATATGTCAGAAAACAAAAGATAGATATTGAGATCATATTATTAAGAAGAACAATTTGTGTATCCTCCATGTGCTGTGCAATTGTTTCATGTATTCAGGAAATCAGGTTGTAGTGGACAGATGAGTATTTGTTGTATAAAGTCTAGAAAATATCATAATCTGTTTTGAATGCAAAATAAGTATGTACCATTACATGCATCATTGTTCAACAAATACAAACTTATAGTGAAAGAAGGCTGTTTAAAATAAACCAATAAATAATAGGTACTAATAATCAACATTCAGTACAGTTAAGATAAGTATTCATTTATCAAGTGTATTAAGTTATTTGAACATTGTTTATCTCCTCACCAGGGATGTTGTTCTTGATGAGGAACCAGAATTAGAAGACCAAGTATCTGAAGATGAATCTGCCGGAAAAGAGGAGGCAGAAAGACTCGCTAAAGAGGAGGAGCAAAGAAAAGCAGCAGAGGTTAGTGCTGACCGGAATAAAATGAGTCAGGCCACGACAAAACCAACATAGTGTGTTTGCCACCAGCATGGATCCAGACCAGCCTTCCCATAAGCGCAGTCTGATCAGGATTCATGCTGTTTGCTTACAAACCCTATTATAAGTAGAGAAACTGATAGCAAACAGCATGGATCCATGCTGGTCGCTAACACACTATGTTGGTTTTGTCATGGTGCGGCTCAAATTACTTCCTTTAGATATATTGATTTTTTTCTAAATGGTAATATTGTTATAGTATGTAAAAGTATTTATCTGCTGTCTGTAGTTTCCAAAATTATTGTAAAAGAATTCTTCCAAAATACCTGTATGAAAGAAGTATGTTTGTATTGTTCCTCAAGAGCGAATGACCTATGCGCAGAATCATTGCTTATTGGGTAAAATCCTCCTAAAAATAACTAAAAAATATTTTTGTTTAAAGATAAAAATTAATGAAGAAATGAAATTCAGCACAAAGCAAATTTCAGCATTGAAATATTTTGAAAAAAAATCCTGAATATATTATATTTAAGCTATTCATTTCAGGCAGAGAAAAAGAAGAAGAAGAAGTTCAAGCCGTACACAGGGAGGATGAAGTCTCCGGGTTATAAGGTTACAGAATCTCTAGAGCAGACAGAGATGTCATTACTAACTCAGGAGATAATGGCCAGCATGCCTCCTCCACCACAAGAAAAGTTAACTGGTCTCATCACAATGCCAGCATCATGTCACTCTATACTCAAGGTAAACAAAAAATCAGTCATGCAAATCACTTTACAAATGGCTTAAATTTATTGAATTATTTGGAAAAAAAAAATTTTCACTTCAAGTGCAGCATTAGTTTCAATTGATTGGGAGTGAAAAAGCATATAAATTGATTTATTACATGCTTTCCGGTGGTTTATAGAAATATATCAGTGAAATATAAACTGATATTTTGCACTGTTTTGAATTTAAGCCCGTTATGTCATTTCAGTGAAATACCAGCTTTCACAAGGGAAACCAACTTAATGATGTAACATCGTAAATTACGTCACATTGTATTATTATTTGGCGCGCTTTTCATCTAATACTAGGTTAAAATGTTTTTTAAAGGTTGCTTTGCATATATATAAGAAAATTTGATTAGTTTAGTGTAAGATTGAAATATATTTCACCTTGTGAACACCAAAAGTTCATATTTCACAAGTGGTTGAACCACTCGGGGAAATATCCCTTTTGGTGGTCAATCTGTGCAATATATTCTGATCTTACACTGAACTAAACAAATATCCTCTATATATTATTAATGGGGAGTGTCTTTTCTCAGATGAAAATATCACTATTTTAAAGAAGTTTATAGTAATACATGTATTTCAAAATGATTTGACTTATTTAAGAGGAAAATTAATATAATATGTTTTTGAGATGTAATATTTATACACTTGTAGAAGTTATGTATAACAACAATAAGCAAGAAGTTTGTCTGTTTAAGGTTCAAGCAGGACGTCCACCAGGAAACAAAGATGTGGAATACGATGACTATGGAAATGTTGTTGCTGTTATCAAACTTAATCCAGAAAGACTGCCAAATCATAGGTTATTTTCACACATATTCTATAACTCATCCTCCAAATAAAACGTTTTTGGTACTGTTTGATCGCTTTTTTGAGGAATTGTTGCAAATTTACAAAATAGAAAGATTAAGCCTCTTTAACATACTGAGTCAAGACTTGTACAATAAATTATATATTTTTGTCCTATTTTAAACTACAGTTGTGCTTTGAAAATTCAAACACATACATGTATAAGCAAAGTTTGTTCTGTAATCATGAAGTCAGTTAGATAAAATATTTCTTATTCTTTTTTATAGCTAGTCAGTGATTTTCCTACTTATATAACAGACTCCGAAAAAGGGCCTCTTCCCAATTGAATTTTTCTTTAAAATCATGCAGTTTTCCCACAAATCTGAACCTAAACCTGCTTTTTTTCTTCCAAAATTAGCAATTTTAGCGATACTTTTTCCCAAAATCAAGAGGCTAAGGCCTCTTCCCAATTAAGCAAGAAAAATCACTGCTAGTTGTGTCTATACAGATTTCAGAAGGAAGTACTAAAGTAGTGTAGTGTTAACATTTACACCCTTATCTAACATAAATTATCTAACATAAATGACTTTACAGAATAAAGGTGAACTATCAGGTGGTTGACCCTGCTGTAGAAGCAGCTCAGGCACGGCTGGATGCTATGAAAACTGGTAGATATGTAGCACCTAGACCTAAACGAAAAATACAGAAGAAAGATGAAACGAATGAAAGCATCAGTGGTATGTATAATTATTTTACATCAGACGTATTGTTTTAATTTTAACTTTTATTAAACTGCTGTCTTTTTACAGAAAGTGCTTGTTACGAAGGTTTGATCAATAAACTCAGCCATTATATTCACTTTTTCTTGATTAACTAATTACAGTAATACAGAAAGAAGCTTCAAAAGTTTATTTTGTTTCATTTGAATTTTAGTAATTTTGAAACGTCTCTTAATATCACTCTATTTAGACTATTATCATTTTTCTCTCAAAATCTTTAAGGTGATTAAAATTGTCTTTTATGTCTGTCTCTTTTAACATGGTATGAAACACACACACATGAACATTTAAAGTCAATCATTTTCTGATATATTTTGTGAAAGTGGTATCATTTTGTGACAGAATATTTTACTCAAAGTTATTGAACTATGGATGATGTTGATAGGTAACTGTATTTGTCTTGTATTTTCAGAAACTACAAGTCAAGTCCCAGCCAAAACACCACTGCCTCCTCCAATGGTAAGTCATTATTTATGCATATCAAAGTTAAAAATGTTATTACGAAGCATAATAAATTGGATTTTACGAAAATAAATCTTTCATATCTTAATGTGTGTTTTTAAAATATGAAACTATATAGTGACACATATGTATACTTGAGTAGATCCACAAAATATTTAGATACTTTTAAAAATCATTGCTCATATTAATCATGATGGTTTCTTAAATGGGGAACTTACTAAGATAATTAGTATTACTTCATATCTTTTAGATCGAGACCATGGAAATAGCACCAGGTGTATCTATAAAAGAAGGTGGTAGAATTAAACAAGGACCATCAAGAGTATGTATACCTCACAATTTATTATATTATAGCACAATCTGGGGAATAATTGAAATACGTATGTAGTTCATGATACCACTTTGTCTGTTAATTCTGTAAAAGCAAATTTTAAAAAAGATCGTTTGGAGTAAAGAATTAAATATGTGTTCATAGTACCAACATATTAATTAGTAGTACTTTCCATCTTTACTTATACAGTAATTCTAAAAAACATGGAAATCTCAGTAACTTTAAAAATAAAACAACTTGTAAATCAACCTACATAGGTTATATGTAAGAGGAAAATCTTATGACAAGGATTAATGCTTAAAAAGTAGGACTGTATAGCTTTAGAAATGATTTTGCTTATATTCTATATATTTGTTGTTGCTGTTTTCCAGTATATTAGAAGAGTGGATATGATGAGTGCATCACAGAAAGGTTTAAAGCCAGTGTCAGTTTCACAGCACACTCCTCGGTTAGATGTATCCGATATTTTAGACAGACATACACCTATTCTACGACCTATACATGATAACTCACCTTTACCACCTATAATGGCAATACCACATCCTCCAGAAAAACCCAAAATTTCCACATGAGGATAAATATAATAATTATTATATTAAGACATTTAAGAAATTGGATTGTGAAGCAAGTGAATCAAGTTAAAATATTAGTAAAAATTTTCATAAAATGATAAAACTTGTGGAACTATTATATGTGAAATCCCTTTACATTGTGTGATATATTTTGTGATGTAACACAAATTGGAAAGCAAAAGAAAAGCAATTACTTCGAAATATGTTTAATATTTTTGGTATATTATTGATTATATAGAAATTTACTATGCAATTTAGAACTTTTAGTTCATAAAAACGTTCAAGATGTATATTAACTTTCCAATTTCTGATTAAATTTCCTGTGAAAAATTTGCACCAAACCCTTTTTTCATTGAACATAAATGTAGTTACATTGATAAGCAACAAATAGTTGCATGTTATGATTTCATTGCCCTCTAATAGGGTATGATGTTCAGATCAGTTGTTCATGTTTATATGATGCTATAATTATAGACATATTTTCTTGTCACTGGATCTGCTGTCAATATCCCGCTACATTCCGAGCTATTCTTGTAACTTGCATCATGAAGTAATAAAGAAATCTTCATTTTCTTTCTTCAAAGAAAAATTCTTAGAGGATGAGCCACTGAAAATTGATAAATTTATGTATAGGTTCACAGCTTATCATGCTGAATATATGACCTGGATTTTCCAAGACTGTCATATGGCTTTTATTAATAGAAATGCATTTTCTTCATTTTGTGTAATACATACTCAAGATGAATCAAATACAGATGTAAATTGTATTCACCATTTGTATAGAAGATTTGAATATGGATGTCAGTTTTTGTATAGTTTGTTGAATCTTTAACATTTAAAAAAAAACCATTTCCAAAGCATGTTATGTACAAACTTTATTTATAATGGTTATTCACAAAACATATTGTTGGTTTGTGAAGTGTCATCTGTGATAGTGTATTGTAATATGTATTATATTTTAAATACATTGTTCTTTTGTAAACTGAAAAACTGATTTCCTTATTTTTTAGTTTCCCATTGTTTGTTATAATGACTTTGTTCATAAAAGGATATACAGGTTATAAAAAGTATGGAAATATGGAAAATAACTTACAATGTATCTGACAGATTATGAAGCACAGAGTTCCAGTTTTTGTGCAATGTTCTCCTAAATGAGATCCATCCACAAATAAAGTTTCATGCTGATAGCAGTAAGGGTATACAAACTGTTGTCAGGACAAACAAGTATACATTACAAAGGGCATTAACTTAAAATTATGCAATAGAAAGTTACATGTCTTTGGCACTGCCCTTCTCAATAAAATTTATTGTTTCATATTGGCTTCTCCAATAGTCTTAAAGTTGTTTGTTTTTTCTCAGAGCAAACATTAGCTATGACAAATTGTTAATGACAATAACTTCAAAATTATGCAAAAAATATTTATGGCTTTTAATCACTGCACTTATCTAAAATGAGAATTATTTATTCACATGTGTCAATTTATTTTAACTCTAGCAGTCTTTAAATAATACTCCAGACAAAAATAAAACATTAAAAGCTACGAAGAATCATAATTGTCCAAAAGAAATTTACAGTTCTTGGACCCTGCATTCTCCACAAGATCCATCCACTTATCAAGTTTCATGTTGAAAGATAATAAGGGCAAGTTCAAAAAGGAAATTACAGCTTTTGGTACATCACTTTTCTTAAATAAGATGTATCAAACAAAGCAAACTTTTATGTTGATTCCTCTTTTAGCCTTTGTGTTATATGACAACTGAAGAAGCTAACTTAAGCAAACTATGTTTTGAAATTTTAAATTATTGTGTTAATCGATGACCTTCTTCACTATATCAATGGTTGCTATGGAAGTCAGTTGTTGCTATGGATGTCACTGGTTGCTATGGAGAGACAAGGGCTGTTTTGGAAGGAAGGTCAATGGTTGCTGTGTAAAGTCAACTGTTGCTATGGAAAGTCAGTGGTTGCTAAGGAAGTCAATTGTTACTTAAGAAGTTTCTTCAATGGTTGCAATTGATGTCATTGGCTGTTAAGGAAAATCAATGGATGTTATAGTGACCTAGTGCTATATAGACAGTCAATAGATACTATGGAAGACACTGGTTGCTAATAAAAGTCAATGGTTTCTACAGAATTAACTAGTTGATGACAATTAATTGACCACTACACCATTATATATGCCAAATATTTAAGTTTTTACATGCTTTCGGGTGTTTAACTGTTATATATCAGATATAAACCACTTGTGAAATTTATAAAATATAATTTTCACTGTAGCTGGACCATATATCTGAATGCTGTTGAAAGAATATCATAACTAAATGGAATAACAGGCAAAAATAAATGCCGTTGTACGTAAATTTTGCTTCTTTAGGAAAAGAAAGTCGATGTCATTATACATCATGTTATGAATGTAACAAAATTAGAGAAATTTAACATAACTATATTTCAAAGTTGATGATGTGATGTCATAAAGTGATGACATCATAAAGGAGAATGTGAGACGTTACGCAGCAAAATCAGTAAAAAAAATATTGAAAAATCACTTTAAAAAAAAGCATGAAATAAATAGAAAATTTATTTGTTTCAAAAAAAAGATTGAAATTTATTTCATTCGTGAACACCAGCTATTCTATTTTCACTTGTGGCTATGCCACTTGTGAAAATATTGCGTATGGTGTTCACTCAGTGAAATATATTTCAATCTTACATGCAAAACAAACAAATATTCTCTATATAATATTTTACATATAAGGAAAATCCATGACCCCCTGGGCCAGTGCAAATTTTAACTCAGGGGCTATGATACAAACTTGGTAGTGCACCATTAGACTTCAGCCTTTAAGATTAAAGATATGTTTAATATTACATACTACATACAGGGAAAACCCATGACCCCAGGTGCAAGAAAAAGTTGACCACAAACTATCCAAACACTACAGAATGGCTGAACAGTGAACAGACACAAACAACATTGCACTTATATGGAAGACTTTCTTCAATGTCAGTGTGACCTTCATAAATATGCTGAATGTAATTTTGAGCATGGTCAAAGTTCTGGAATAATTAAAGAAGTTGAAAGCTTAACTGTTTCAATACTTTGACATCAAACAGATATTTACATGTTTGTTTTTTTTAAGCAATAATATCATAACTAACCAAATGTGTTTTAGTCTCTTTTAATAGATTAAACAAGAGCTGTCGGTAGGACAGCAACGCTCGACTATTCTAAGTGCTTGATAGTAAAAAAAAATGCTTGATACAGTTACCTTCTCCTGTTTACAGGTTGGGGTAATGATGGTGAACAAGTGTATGTATTCATATGTCAATGAACTTTGAAAATATTTGAGGTATTACAAAAACTTTAACATAAATTCTAAGTTGAAAAAGGGGCATAATTCTGTCAAAATGCTTGATAGAGTTATCTCCTCCTGTCTACAGGTTGGGGTCATGATGGTGAACAAGTGTGCAAAGTTTCAAAGCCATATGTCAATGGACTTTGAAAATATTTGAACTATTACAAAAACTTAAAATAAATTCTAAGTCGAAAAAGGGGCATAATTCTGTCAAAATGCTTGATAGAGTTACCTCCTCCTGTCTACAGGTTGGGGTCATGATGGTGAACAAGTGTGCAAAGTTTCAAAGCCATATGTCTATGGACTTTGAAAATATTTGAACTATTACAAAAACTTTAACATAAGTGGTTACGCCGACGCCGACACCGACGCCGACGCTCGGGTGACTGCAATAGCTCTACTTATTCTTATCGAATAGTCGAGCTAAAAATGAATGACATACACACAGAATGAAGAAATCATAGAATTAAAGTTTGTGTTATTTCTTTTTCAATTTTCCAAAATCAAAATCCTTAGCAAACGCTTCAAAGTCTTTGTCACTGAATGCAGATTTTTCTTCCACAGCTTTTGTCTCTTTTGAAGCTGTTGTTTTTCTTCTCTTTTTCTTTCGATGATGCTCTGATATCTAGAAAGTTAACAGTACAAATGATCAAGTACAGAGGATTTAAATGACTATTCATTAATTCAAATTAATTTTTAACTCTGACTGAAATTTTTAATTTTACTTAAACTGTTTTATTTCAACTTAATTTATTGATAAAAAACCAAATCATGGTACGTTTCTTACAATTCCATATTAAAAACATGCTATTTAGGGATGAATGTCATATGACAACATATCAAAATAAAACTCCCCTATCTATATATCTATCTATATATCTTCCGTTACTGTCAAACCCCTTGCGGGGACTTAGACAAGTCCAGGGATGTAGACATGTCATGCTATGTCCAAGTATTGAGGCTTTGATGACGCACAAAGGTAAATAAACTTCAATGCACTTTATTGGACCAAAACTATAATGTATTATGGTATCAGGTGAGTGTGATATTGTTTGGTATCCAAACATTCTCTAAAAACTTTCATGACTGTGTAAATAATCAGATGATCAATAATATTAAAATTTGTCACAGAAATTTACCGATTTAGCTGTGTTCTTGCTTGAAGAATCTAGCTGAGAAAGTCGGGTCAGAATCTTTATACTACTGTCTGTATAATCATGGATTTCTGGCACTTGAGACACTAAAATAACAGAGAAGTAATACAATGAAATAATGAAACTTATCAAACATCTTTTTATCTAACTACAGGTTATCTTTTTCTTTTACCCATAAAATATGGTGCTACATTGCTACATTCCCCTTCCAATTTTATTGTAAGGGAATAAAAACTTCCTATAAGCATTTTTTCAAAGAGATTTTTTGTCTTCAAAAAACATGAACATGAATGATTACCATTTATTGGCAGATGACTTGATCTTTTAGCTGCAGATATTCTTTGCTTTTGTGTTTGAAGTTTTCTTAGTTCCTTTCTCACCCCCTTCTTCTTTGTACTTATTAATGACATTGGATCTTTTGTTTTTTTCTTCTGTGTTGGCTCTGCAATATAAATCACTTTACATATAAAGCATTAGCTACTACTATTAAAGATACGAACAGACAGTGTATTTTTCTGCACATGTAGCTAGTGAGTTTTGTATCATGGTTCGTACATAAATGTATCATATCAAGTTCAGTGTATTATTACATCCATATCTATAAGCCATTATCAATATCCTCCCACGCTGTCAATAAACATCACATTTTTGTATGTTAATGCTGCTTTAATTTCACATGGTATGCATTTTCTCTTTTAAACAAGTAATAAGATCATATTAGATGTGTCATTTTTGTATGCAATTACATGCAATAAAATGTTTTTAAATGATAATTTAGAAAACAAGAGCCCGGTTTGAGCCGGGTGATACTCCCTGAATAGGTTTTGGACACAGGAAAGTACACCTCTTGTAGTTTCAGAGTAATGTCCCTGGAAAAAGTTCAAAGTGCAATAATTTCAAACTTAGGCTAGGCAGAGTAACTGTTCTTTGCACTGCACTTCTAATCAATGTGATCTATCAACCTACAAAGTTTCTTGTTGATATCTCTTATGGTTTCCTAGTTATGTCCCGGACAACTTCAAAATGTAAAAATGAACAAAGGGCAATTACTACAAAATTTTGCAAGGCGGAGTTCAAGTTCTTGTGCACTGCACATCTACCCGTTGAGATCCATCTACCTACAATATTTCATGATGATATCTCTTGTAGTTTTAGAGTTTTTTTCCGGACAAGATTTTTTAAAATGGGAGATAATTAAAAATTTGGGCAAAACAGAGTTATGGTTTTTTGTACTGCACTTTTACTCAATGAGATCAATCTACCAACAAAGTTTCATGTTGATATATCTTATAATTTTAGAGTAATTTCCCAAAGTTCAAAAAGTAAAAATAAACAAAGGGCAATAACTCCAGAATTAGGCAAGGCAGAGTTATGATTCTTGTGCACTGCACATCTACCCATTGAGATATATCTACCTACAAAGTTTCATGTTGATATCTCTTATAGTTTTACAGCTATGTTCTGGACAAGATTTTTCTAAAAGGGGAGATAATTCAAAAATGAGGCTAAACAGAGTTATGGTTCTTTTGCACTGCACTTCTACTCAATGAGATCTATCTACCTACAATGTTTCATCTTGATATCTCTTATAGTTTTAGAGTTATGTTCCGGACAAAGTTCAAAGTGTTAAAATTAACAAAGGGCAATAACTCCAAAATAAGGAAAAAAAGAGTTATTGTTCTTATGCACTGCACATAAACCCATTGAGATCTATTCACCTACAAAGTTTCATGTTGATATCACTTATAGTTTTAGAGTAATGTCCCGGACAAGATTTTTCTATAAGGGGAGATAATTCAAAAACCGGGCAAAATAGAGTTATGGTTCTTTGACACTGCACTCCCCCTCAATGCCCTCTACCACTGTATGAAGTTTAAACAAATTATCTCCAAGGGTTTTCAAGTTATGCTCCGGACAAGACAACGGACGGACCAAAATTTGATGTTTATGAGGCAAATCAGCTCATAAACACCACCTGGACCAACGTCCATAAGCAAAATAACGGACGGACAGACGGACGGACAAGGCGCTAACTACATAAAAACATATATACAATGTAGATTTTCCTATAAAAGTCTATAATAACTAATTAAGTGACCCCTGCCCTGCTACCCCCATCCCTAGTCATATTATTTATATAATGTCAATATCATATTTTAATTATTTCAAAAAAGTGTTGAAATCAAACCTGTAAATGACAACAAAGATACAACAATTTAAGCTTAATTCAATAGAATGACCTAAATAACACTGTCATTCTTAGGTAACTTTATGTCTTTGTTTTGTAAAAATCACATTTTGTTTTTATGTCCAAGTATGAATCTGTAATATCCTTCATTACTGTAGTCTGCTATTTATAACTATATATTGCATGATGGGTAATACGGTACTGAACTTCCGGTCAAGATATAACATGGCTTTCTAAATAAACGTTGTTACAAGCAATGTGTTTCTTATAATATCTATACCCTAGACATAACAGAATCAAATCTGTATATAAACAAAGTAAATTTACAGTGCTCAGCATCCTGTTTTTGCTACAACATGATTGACTGTTTTTGTTTGTTTGGATATCAAACCTTGATAAATCAGCACAGCATAGTGTAATATCAGATTATACATGTAGACTTTGTAATGTATAACAGTAAGTAAATGTGAAGAAACAATATGTGTTATTTTAACATGTTAAGTGCAAATGCATCGACAGATTTTATTACTTTTGTAAAACAACATGTTTATTTCTTATGAAACAATCAATATATCATTTTGCAATGTTTCTTCAGCACACATGTTCTACAGTTTATGGCTAAAGTAGGCAAATATGGCTTAAATAGCCAAAAATGTTATCTTCCCCAACCCGATTATGGATATTGGCGCAAACCATTAGTGTCAATTCTCTTTTGAATATATCTTACAAATTTGAAAAGTATGTATATGCAGTCAAAAGGCATTATGTATAAACTAACTATTATGTATAAACTAGATTTAACTTGGACTTGTACCGGCAAAATATCAAAATTTCTATTTTAATTTTATTCATATTATTGTTAAATTTTATTAAATCATTCAACACAAAATTTCCTATGATAATGCTTAACACCTAATGATATGGCCTAATATGTAGATCAAAATCATCACACAGCGACTGTCACCAGGAACAAATAGTAAAACTTATGCATTTCATGTATCCGGGTACTCTTCCTATCTAAATTACAGACACTCCTGCTAGACTAGATTTAGACCTCATAAAGTAGCTGCAAAGGCTTACGTACATGTCAAAGCAATTAATTTCAAAATGTATTTAATAGTGATACACAACCTCTTATCAAATCATCTTCAAACAAGGATAAACTTTGTTTGACTAGTGAGGAAGACATCGCTCTTGTCTTACTATAAAAGCCGTGACGCACGTTCCTTAATCCATTACTCCATGAGCATTTTGTGAAAAATGGCTGTTTTTATTGAAAAGTCCCCGTTACAAGTTCACTATAAAAACTGCTTCAATACTAATCAAACTTGGCATAAATGTTCACTGGACCATTGCCTTTGTAACAACAATTTTCCTGTTACCATGGCAACGAGGGGACACTCAAAATTGCCAAAAACCACTATTTTGCGTTGATTTTTTTCCATCAAAATTGATTTCAAACTGCTGCAACTTCTCAATGGATTGAGATAGGGTCAAATACTTTTCAGCATTGATCACACGTTACCTTATGATCGATCTGGGTCATTTTTAGCCTTTCACACGTCCATTTTTTTCTGGCGATGAGGGAGACTGCCGCCCCTTCAACCCCCTTCCCCTACAGAAGGGGGCACATCCTCCTTCTGGCAACCCCCTGATGTATCTTTTGGTTGGAAGACCGCGCCGAAAAATTGGTCACTTTTTTCATAACATTTCTCAAACGAAAACATGTGTTTGGGGCCAATTTAAATACAACATTTTTTTTCACTATTTGAGGACTTAAACATAAGTTAAAGAGGGGGGGGGGGGGGGGTAGGGGGGGGGGTGTGTCGAAAGTGCGTTGTTTTCGCGTATATTATGAGGTAAAGGGTTAACAAAAAATGAAGAAAATACCCTAAATCGCGTTTTCTCATGTTAAAACATGGCCTAACATATAAATTTGAAGAGAAATTGTTGTTTTGTAGATTTTTTTTTTTCATTAAAAGAAGGGTGTTTGGTCCTTGACAAAAACTGTCTTCAAACATCAACATTATCCAAGTAAAATAAGACCAGATTTCTATTATGTTATCCATCTATTAGTCCAACTAATTAGACTTGTCAAAGAGACACCGAGATAATTTTGGACGGGCGCTGTCTTTTTTCCAAACGGTTTGACAGTAAGAAAAAAAGGAATTTGGAGGTTACGTACCATGGAGGTTACGTACCACTGCATAAATGTACCATTTTTGGAGGTTACATACCACTATAGAAATATATAATAAAGTGATAATAAGGGATAAGGTGTGAAACCATCAGGTTTATTGTTCAAATTCGCGCATTAATTGTATTTTGTAATGAGATTTTGTATATATGTATGAATATAAAGAATAAACAACAAACCAATTAACGATAGTTAACAAGTTTTATTTACAACACAAAACTGAAACGAACAAACGATGAAAATAATTAATAACACTAATATAATTACACGCACTAAATTGAAATGAACAGTACAATGAAACAAACCACAGCAAATATAAAAAAAAACACTTCATTTATAGTATTATTTTAAATACATGGTATGTTTGCAGCTGAATGTGCTATTTTTGCGTAAGATGTTACATGTAGTTTTGTATCTTCTTGCACTAATATGATGTGCTGATATGATTAACGTCACTTCTCTTCAAATATTGCCTTATGTAATATATATAATTTTACATCTTTGAAATTGTTCTTTTTTTTTTGTATAATTATGATGCTTTTCTTCGCTTAATGTTGTTTCTTTTCATTGACTGTGTTATGTAATATGTATATCTTCGAACATTCGGAGGCAATAAAGATGTATATAATAATATTTCATATGCATGTTAATATACCGGACAAAATTACTTACCTTGGGAAAAAAACAAGCGTTACATATTTTATCATTTATACATTACATTAAGTTTTATTTACACGTTAACCGAACGGTGCATAAAATGAAAATAACAATAATTATGTTACACGCTCTGCAATGAAACAACAATACACAATTAACAAGTATTTTTAAAAATATTCTTGAGTTTTATTTATCCGCACTGAATAATATACTGAAATAAACAAGACAAAATAATTGATAACAGTACATAGGCAGGTTACGTTTTATTTACAGACTCATATATACAAACACGTCAATTTATATATTTTTCAGCTCCACTAAACCGCTCCTGGATGCTACTGTCTTCTTGTCAGAATCTACTCAAGATCTTCGTCGTCGCAATGGTCATCCATTGTTGCTGGAATTGGTCCTAGGCCCATGATGTGACTTGAATTTTTCAAAAGTTGAATTGGTCTTCATATTTGTCCCACAGGTCGAACAGCTTGTCACATGGGTGGCCTTGTATTGTTTTCCTGCGTACCCTTGTCAGCATGTTCTGTGAGACGAGACGAGTTTGCAAGTCGACGAACTGATCGAGCCTCACCATAAAGAAGAGGCACCAGAACGTAGAATGCAAGCTGCGCCCCGCCTGCACGTGAATTTAGGCGTTACTGATATAGTTCGCAATTTGTTTGTGATTTGTTTGTGATTTGTTAGATTACTCATTTCTGAATGTGTGATAATCATACATAAAACGTTTGCATTTATATTAATTGCTCATATGTGATTTTTAAAAAGTAATATTAAAGTTATAAAATTCGGTCTTTTCTATAATTGTTATGCTCTATATTATTTGTATTTTATATAAATTATATATATGGTACGTATTCTCCAAAATATATAAGTGGTACGTAACCTCCAAAAATGGTACGTAACCTCCTGGTACGTATCCTCCGTGGTACGTAACCTCCAGTAATCAGAAAAAAAGTCTGTAAAATGGGTCAAACCGTCCACGCCAAATTAATTAGGCTAATCCATCTATATGCTTGAGGAAATATCAATTTCTTTTGTCAACCATGTGAACAATGAACTACTGTAGGCATGCCTTCCTTGTTGATCTTGTTTATCAATATTTTAAACGGATCACATCAAAATTTTACAAAATAGTTTTCTTAAACGATAAAATGTCAATTGATATCTGATTTCTATCCTATTTTACAAACATGAGCGTAAAAAAGTTGTTTTTTTTTTTCCTAAGCGCCCTGGACACCTTATTATAATAATACACGTAAAATCTACTACGAATCTACCACATCGCTATGTACATGTAATATTATTGATAGAAGGTCAAACATAATCTTCAACTTGATTAGATCCCTATAAATAATTCCAAAGGGTTATTCAATGGTATAATAATGTTGGACTTTAAAAAAAAAACACCAAAACATTTGATTTTGTCAATGATAATATTTTGTGTGCTAAATTAGATTTATCAGGTGACAAGTATATTTCTTAATTTAAATCATCCTTTTCAGGAAGGTATCAATAAAAAGGTGAGTATCGGCAAAGCTGTTTCAGACTTAATTCCTATTACATGTGGGGTCCCACAGGGCAGTATCTTGGGTCCTCTTCTATTTCTCTGCTACTTTAATATACCATATGGTTACTAGTATTGATTATTAATGCAAGCTAATTTTGAATGCAGAATGATAGTACAATACCGTTTTGCATAAGGATCCAAATAATTATAGCCCAAAAAGCTCTGAATGGTTAGTTGACAATAAATTAAATCAAAAGTTTTTTTTTCTATTTCATGTATAATTATCAAACAATGAAATCTTTGTCTGAAATTAAATATCTTAGTTTGTATATCAATTTTTCCCTACCATGATAAAACACTGAACATTAAGAGCATTCTTTCAAAGGTGAATAAAAAGTGATACCTCGGAACTATTAGAACCAGCAAAATTACATAAAAAAATGCAGACTCGGTTTGATTGAGTCTGTACATGAAGGATAATGATACAGTGCAACATCCTCACGCCCCTTCGACCAGCTTGAATATTTGCACTTAAAATTGCTGGACTCGATGATCCCAAAGGAAATAACAAAACTGAAGTGAAGTATGGGGCAACTTCTCACGGCTGTTATACATTTGGAGCACAGACTTCGAATAGCTCAAAATTAGGTGGTGCGTTTTATACAAGACTATACCCGGAGGAATTTCCAACAAATTTTTAATAATGTGTCTGATCTTAAAATATCGAATGTCAGCAAAGAGTTAGGCAGTAAAGACTTATCACATTAATAAAGTATACTATAAAAAAGCCCTTCTCACTTGAATGACTTGCTTATGTTATGTAGAGAAATAAATTTGAGATCTAGTAAATTGAATTTTGTTCACCTCTCAAGTACACCTCTTGTAGTTTCAGAGTTATGTCCCTGGAAAAAGTTCAAAGTGCAATAATTCCAAAATTAGGCAAGGCAGAGTAACTGTTCTTTGCACTGCACTTCTAATCAATGTGATCTATCAACCTACAAAGTTTCTTGTTGATATCTCTTATGGTTTCCGAGTTATGTCCCGGACAACTTCAAAATGTAAAAATGAACAAAGGGCAATTACTACAAAATTTGGCAAGGCGGAGTTCAAGTTCTTGTGCACTGCACATCTACCCATTGAGATCCATCTACCTACAAAGTTTCATGTTGATATCTCTTGTAGTTTTAGAGTTATTTCCCGGACAAGATTTTTTAAAAGGGGAGATAATTAAAAAATTGGGCAAAACAGAGTTATGTTTTTTTTGTACTGCACTTTTACTCAATGAGATCAATCTACCAACAAAGTTTCATGTTGATATATCTTATAATTTTAGAGAAATTTCCCAAAGTTCAAAAAGTAAAAATTACAAAGGGCAATAACTCCAGAATTAGGCAAGGCAGAGTTATGATTCTTGTGCACTGCACATCTACCCATTGAGATATATCTACCTACAAAGTTTCATGTTGATATCTCTTATAGTTTTACAGCTATGTCCTGGACAAGATGTTTCTAAAAGGGGAGATAATTAAAAAATGAGGCTAAACAGAGTTATGGTTCTTTTGCACTGCACTTCTACTCAATGAGATCTATCTACCTACAATATTTCATCTTGATATCTCTTATAGTTTAAGAGTTATGTTCCGGACAAAGTTCAAAGTGTTAAAATTAACAAAGGGCAATAACTCCAAAATAAGGAGAAAAAGAGTTATTGTTCTTATGCACTGCACATAAACCCATTGAGATCTATTCACCTACAAAGTTTCATGTTGATATCACTTATAGTTTTAGAGTAATGTCCCGGACAAGATTTTTTCTATAAGGGGAGATAATTCAAAAACCGGGCAAAATAGAGTTATTGTTCTTTGACACTGCACTCCCCCTCAATGCCCTCTACCACTGTAT